TGACACTGCTACTGCTGCTTTATGGTGGGAGATCGAGACAAGGTGTGCTCGGGCGCTCGCTCGCTCACTCTCTCTCTCTCTCTCTCTCTCTCTCTTTGTGTTGCTCCCATTGCTCCGAGCTTTGGCACATAAAGCTCCCAACTCTATGTATGTGTGTGTGTGTATTAGGTATACGTAATGATACAGCTCGGTACGCTAGCTAGCTAGCTACCACTGCTGCTGCCAGCGTCTATATAACGCTTGCGATGGCACTTTGTGCCCTGTTATAAAATGAAGTGGATGGCGATATATTGTAGCTATGCGGTTTGATAGAAACTTGATTCTCTTACGCGCGCGCGCGCTTCGTCCCGCTAACCCCCCTTTCGCTGCTACCAGCTAGCACAAATGAAATTGTGCTTTTGATTAAATACACAACGCGCGCGCGCAAAGTGGATCGATCGTTGATTAACCCCTTTTACTCTCGTCCGAAGGCGGATAATTCTTTTACCTTTGATTGAGCCTGTGCTCAACTAATTCGGTTGCTAATGTACACAACGATATACCCATCGACTTGGATGATACATCGTACTTGGAGCGCGAGAGATGGCATAAATATACAACACGTATACCCGAAGCGAGTGTGTGTGTGTGTGTGTGTGTGTTTGTGTGGGATGAAGTGCTACGCGCGCGAGTGCGAGCGCGTGAATGAAATTTTGATGAGCGCGAAGACTGGCATAAAAAAAAACCAGAGAAAGAGAGAGAGAGAGACCTCTCGAGAACGTGCTTTTTAACGCTTGCTTTTCGCGTGGTTTTGCAGAAAATGTAATTCTTGGGACGATGCCCTGCGAGCTGTGTGCTGCCGAGCACACACCCGGGTTATAAACGTGTATACGTATGTACGTACTATCACCACCACCACCGCTACGCGACCGCCTGCTGCAGCTTGTTTTCGAGAGAGTAAGCGAAATTTGATTCCGCGTCTGTTTGCCAACTGGAAATTCATTAGGTCGACCGCGTAGTAGTACTTGTGCCAGCAATACCCCCTTTACTACTGCTCGTGTGTTTGAAGAATTCATTATCGCGTCGGTGTGTGTCTCTGTGTGCGAGTGCGCATCGTCCCACGCGCGCGCTCCTATATATGCGCACACACGTTCAGCGGTAAACCCCGGGTAATTATGTAATGTTATCTACGTATATTTGTTTGATTGTTTTATCTCGGTTTTCATATAACGTTTATGTGTACTTCGAAAAGTGCAATCATTGCGGCGGCGGCGGCTGCGACGTTACGGCTGTTTGCCTCGCGAATGAAAAATCACGCAACCGCACATGCATGCACGCGCTCTCGACAAATGATCGGCTATCGCCCAGTTCAAATATATATTTTACCGATAAATATCCCATTTGGATTCAATAAGAAGAACAACGAGGGAAAGAGAAAAAGAGTAGTGGTAGTAGTGGCAGCAGTACGGAATGAGCGTAGTGGAAAAATATACCCTTCTGGGCTTTTCAGCCTCTTTTCTTTCTTGCTTTTTTTTTAACGTACACCGAGCGAATATATATCCGATCCCTTTTTTCTATTCAATAGCCACAAATCGTCCTTTGCATCCCCATTATACAACTTTGCCCAGAGCACAGATAGAATGTGTCTGTGTGTGCGTATATATATGTATATAAAACAGACGCAGACGCGCGCATACCCATCTCCATGGTGACCCTCTCTTGGCTTTTTGGCTGTTCCGTGTGTCCCTCTCTCTCCCCTACCCCCGGCCACGGTCTGTTTTTTTTTTTTTTTTTAGCAGAGACTGCACAGACCCTCGAGGGCAAACTGGCAAAGTTTCCGTCCGCGCGCCGGAGGTTTTGCGAAATCAATTCCACCAACGGACGTTGGCTATACGGCTCTGCGCGCTGCCACGCAGTAGATATATGTATATAGTAGTAGAGCCCTGCTAGCAGCAGTGCCATGCGGTAGTATTAGTATATATACGGTAGTAATAGTGAGAGGGATATTCTCCTGACTTTGCGGTTTCGACTTTAGTACTCTGGCGCGCTGCTGGGTACTGTTGCTTCATTGCCCTGATGAATGACTAATTATTGCTGTTGCGGAGCTAACTGCGTTTTAGCTGCCCCTTCGCTCTCTCACTCTCTTATTCTCTCTCTCTATATTTCTGCTTACTGACGAGGTTCACGGGGATCATATTTTTAAAGGCGATTAAAAGCTCAAATTTATTATCGAATTTTCGCTCTCTCTCACTAGCGTCGAAAACTTTATATATAGTGTCGTAAAAAATTGTCGAATTCCGGAAAATCTGAAGCACTTGAAAATTTCAAGTGTGGGTAATGGTACATAGAAAACAAGCGAAGCTCGCATCAGTGTAAGTCGTTTCAAAGGCTCTCTCTCTCTCTCTCTGCCTTCTGCGCTATATAGAGCAAGAGCCTTCATTACCACTTCTCTATTTTCCCGGAAAATCTTCCTTTTACGCGCGTTCGTATAAAGGTGTGTGTGTGTCTGTGCAAGTGCGCGCGCATGTATATATGCGTCACTCTATGTATAAAAAAAGCCTCGAAGCTTTTTGCACTTTGCTGGCTCGCTTGCTTGCGCGCGAGAAAAAGCCGGTCGGAAAACGTCTCTCTCTCTCTATATATATATATACAGTGGTGTGGCGCGCGAGAGAAAGATTCATTACCGTCCTTGAGTTATCTCGTTCTCTTTCTCTCTTTTCCAAGCCAGTAGGAGTAATTATCTGCCGTTGGATTACGGATAAAAGACCTCTCCGGTCTCCTATTAAAGAGAGAAGCCAAACTACTACCCCTACTTTACGTCTTTTTCTCTCTTTCTCTCGCTCGCTCTCGCTCGGAGCAGCAGCGCAGCTCCACTCTCGGACTATAGCTGCTGCTTCTGCTGCTGCTGCTGCCTTCTTCTTCACGAGGCTTTGTCTCTCGAAATCTGTTCCGTTGGTATCTTTCTTTCTCTCTTTCTCTCTATTTCTCTCGTTTGCTCGTTGCTTTTTGTTTGCCAGCGCGCATATATATAAACGTATATATATATTTCTCTTTCTCTCGGTGGACGTGCCTAACATTTTGCACACATACACCACCCACACGCACACGTACGCGCACAGACACCGGCATAAAAGATACTGTTGCGGAGCTTCGAGGCTACAGAGAAACGGGGGAGTGAAAAAGGAGATGACACTCGTCGTGTGTCGGGTTTTATTTCGTCGAGGTGTGCTGTAAAGCTGAACGTTTCTACCCCTTTAGGGCTGTCAGGGCGCGCGCGAGAGGCTATATTCCTATATATATAGGACTTTTGCAAGTTTTCTTCTTTCATCGGGGAAAAGAGCCGCGCAAGTAAACTTCAAAGCTTGCGTGACTGGCTCCACTCGTATACATACACTTTATGTACACGTGACTCACCCGCTCAATTGTTTTTCCAGACAAAAAAGTTTATTATTGTACGCGAAAATATGTAAATTATAATTTGCTTTCGTAATTACGAAGTAAATACACCCGTCGATTAATTCCTATATTTAATCTACGCAAGCATTGCGGCAGATCGAGCTGTGTGGCTCTATAGGTACTCTCGTGGTTTATCTTTATAAACCAATACATACAATATACGCATACTATTATAAACCGCTCGGCTTTCTAAATCCATTGACGCAGCCGTACAACGTACATAGAATAGTACCCTGCAGTAGTCCTCCTCCTGCATGCACAAAGGACCATTGATTCTAAGCTGCTGCTAAGCCGTGTCGTTCGCTCCGGCCGACCATAATCGCCGCAGCGTCTAATTGAAACTTTCTCGGTTATACTATCTGTGCGCGATGGTAACGTTGCGGACCGCAAATTATGCAAATTACGCAAATTTTTCAAATCGTTATTAGACAATTATATCTTCGAAGGTTGGCTACATTTTTCACTCGACGCGCGCGCGAGAAACATCGGCGGACCCTCTCAAGCTCATCGAAACACTAATTATTTAATTTACCCTCAAATTATAACTCCTCTCGATGCTCGAGAGAAAACACGGGGGTCTCGAAGCTCCCGCGAGAGAGGCAGACACGCAAAATCCCTAATTCATCACAATCAAGCCGGTCTGTACATACACAAACATTTTAATCAACGCTAACAACTATTACGATTATTCAACTTAATCCGACCAAGCTCGCATTCACGCAGACGCGGGTGCGCGCAGCTCGTTTCATACTCTTAAGGCGATAAATAATCCAGTGCGCGTAGCTCTCCCGCGTTCGACTTGAGAACTGCGCTCGTGTGTATATAGTAAACGTGCGCGCGCGCGCGGCAAAATCACCCGGCAATTTGACGCGTAAAGCAGCGGATTAAATCGTTTCCTTGTCGCGAGATGGAGAGAGAACGAGATCTGTTCGCACACAGGTGCGGAGGGGGTGGCGGGTGGCTATGTAATAGAAACGCTGCGAGGACTAATGAATACATCGTTTTAATTTTTTTTTCTCTCGCCTGCCACGCTAAATTTGAAAATTTAATTTTTCCCAACGTCTTTTAATAGCAGCCATCAATTTTCAAGGTACTGCGAGCAGCAGCGGTGGCGGCAGCTTACTTTGAAAAGGGGAAAACGCTAGAACGACGCTGCTGCTGCTGCACAAGCAGCAGCACTCGGCGCGCTGTGTGCCGTGCGCTGCGAAATGTTAGCTTTTTAAGCCTTTTATCTGCTATCAAGTAAAGTTTACTCGAGAAACGTTGGAGTGGTATAAAATAAAGTGTGGCCCGGTCTCTCTCTCTCTCTACTAAGGGCTTATATATTATACCCCGTTATTCTAGTTCACTTTACGGCTACGCACGAGTGCGAATTGCGATGGAATTTCGGAGATTGCAAATATACATCCTCCCATGTAACATTGACGACCCCCCCGCAGTTTCCCCACTAACCGACTTTGACGCTCGCGAAGCGACGGACAATTATTCAAATATTAATAAACTTCGAATACCGCAAATGTCTAATAAAGTTTCTCACCCTCGTCTCTCTTTTTTCTCATTAACAGATGGCCTGAAGCGGAAGAAACGAAAACACAGTCTTTACACGGGAGTGTCACAGCTGCTGGCTCAACGAGGCGCGACGCTACCCGCCGGTGCCACAACTACCAGCAGCACTTCCACGCTCTCTAATGGATCGCAGGTAAATAATTCAAAGCCTACCTACAAAGTGCCATACCGCTTCTCGTAGAGCTGTCTCTAACGCTGTGCTAGCTAGCTAGCTAGCTGCTGGCTGCACGGTGCACTGCCGCCGCTGCCGTTGCGAGCTTTCCAGACTAGCTTTCCATTAAGCGCTGCTCTCTCGCCCTCTCACTCAGTCACTCAGTCACTTTACATGGAGAGCTTTCGATGTGCGTCACCCTTTGTACGGAGCGCGCGGGCGGGCGACGCGTTGTCGCGCGGCAATTTCGTTTATTTTTTTTTCTCTCCTCTCTCTCTCTCTCTTTTACATTCTTTTATGCTTTATCCGCGTGACGCGCATTTGCACGTGTAATAAATTGATTGAAATTATAGGCCGTTGTTGGCCCCTTATTTTTTACAAACGAGACGCGAATACAATATCAATGCTGAAACATCGGCGCTATACGGAAAAGTAAACGCGCGCGAGGTAAATAAGTTTAATCGAACGGGCGAAGCTCGTCCGGGGAGCACAATATTTGAAACAGAAAGCAAGAGGGTATTATCCGCATTAACTTTTCATTCGTGCTGCTGCTGCGGCAATCGTGGGCGTCGCTATAAAGATGAATGTTAAATGGAAATTCGGGCAGAAAAGCACACCAAAGAAAAAATTTCCCCTCCGTTACTGTAAAAAGAGCCAAGAAGCTTTTTTTGCGACTCGGCGAGCTGTTTTTTCTTTCGCGCTCTCTTTTTCCTCAATCGAGCAGAATTTCTTCTCTCTCTCTCTTTTTTTTACTCGTTTAATACGCTTGGAAAAAGAACCAAGTTTTACAATCAAGTTGTCGAGTGGAATTAAAAGCAGGTTTCAGTGTGACTGCTTTTTATTGGAAAGGTTGATTCAATATTTGAAAGATGAAAGTATGATGTATTTTAGCAACGTGTCGTAGCTTTTTATACGGAGCCGAGCCGTGAGTAAAAGAGAAAAATGAGAAAAATATTAGCGAAGCCCTAATTATTGAAAAAGAGATTTAAATCTGAAGTAATGAGAGTTTCATTGATCACATTTCTGTCAATTGAACAAGTATCGATTAGTTGAAAAAAGAGCCAACAAAAATATTATCGTCTCTCAACTAATGAATCTTTATTCATTGTCAACTGGTTAAGTTTGTATTCATGTGATGCGCATTTTTCGTAGGTGTGGCCTGTACAAAATCTCCCAGGACACATGACGATTCAGAACCAGCAGCAGCAACAATTGCTGCCACAGCAACAGAATTTTAACCAACAATTAGTCACGAATCAGCAAGTCCAAAGGATAAACAATTCTCAAAATATGGCTGCTAACGGCATGTTAATGGGAAATCAGCTGCTAATGAATCAGCAGGCTAATTTTAGCAATGTTGTACAACAGCCACAACAGCAACAACCTCAGCAGCAACAGCAGCAGCCGCAACAGCAGCTGCAACAGATTCAACAGATCGCGAATCAACAGATTCCGCAAGATCAGGCGGCTCAAGAACAGTTGTTGCAACAGTTGCAGCAGTTACAACAGATGCAGCTCATGCAGCAGCGTCAAGATCAGCAGCAGCAACAGCAGCAATTGATGCAGTTGCAGCAGCAGCAACAGCAACACTTTCAATTGGGTCAGTTGAATCTTACTGGTGGACTGCAGCAGCAACAACAACAGGCGCAACAGCAGCAACAATTGAATCAGCAGCAGCAGTTGAGTCAACAGCAGCTCTTGCAAGCTTTGGGAAAACAAACGAATTTGCAGCAACAAAATATACTCGGTGAATTGGACCAGCAGTTGCTGGCGAATCTAACTCAGCAGCAACAGCAGCAAGATTTTTTGAACCAGACGCAAGTTTTGCAAAATCCACAGCAACAACTCATTCCGACGCAGCTGCAACAGTTGCAACAACAGCAACTTCAGCAGCAACAGGTTCGTTAATTTTTAAAATTAATAAGATATAATATCTTGAATGTTAAATGATAATCGAATAAAATTTTTCAGATGAACCAGCAGTTGTTGCAACAGCAAGCTGAGTTCCAATTGCAGCAGCTACAACAGCAACAGCAGCAGCAACAACAACAGCAGCAACAGCAACAACAGCAGCTCATTCAATCTTGCGGACAGGGACAATTCCAAACGCAAATTATCAACCCGGTCGATACACTGCAGCAAAACGGACTGACTGTTTTAAACAATATGAACGAGCTGCAGGTTCGACAACAGCAACAGCAGCAACAACAACAGCAGCAACAGCAACAGCAACAGCAGCAGCAACAGTTGTTATTGCAAAATCAAGTTGTACAAAGGCATCAAGTCATGCAAGCTAACAATCAAATCACACAGAATCAAATATCATACCAAGTGCAAAGTTTCGATCCCACGAAAAACACGACGACGGTACAACAGTTCCCGACTTCGCAACCTTTGCAGCAGAACCAAAATATTCAGTTGAACGCGAGGCAGACGCAACAGTGGCAGCAGCAGCAACAGCAGCAGCAGCCTCAGCCACAGCAGCAGCAGCAGCAGCCACAACAGCAACAAGCCAACTCGCGGACTATGGGCATCAATCAAGTACAAAATATCGTGTGCAACTCGTTTGACCGCGTGCCTCCGTTACATCAGCACATAACGCAGGACAGCGTGTGGGCGGAGGAAGTGTCGAGGAAGAAGCCGAAGACTGCCAAGAATTCGTTCAAAAAGCAGAGAACGCACTCAATCGAGCTGCGGAACAACAGCACGAATAACAGCCTCGACCAGGGGCTGTCAGGAGATGAGTTCTCGGATAAAGGCAGCACGCATTCGGGTTAGTATCATTTATTACCTCCAGAAATCATTTCACCGATGACTATTAGTTTGCTCGCGATGAACAGTAGTGCGCTCGTAATTTTGAAGGGCCTTTCAGAGAGACCATTATATTAGTTTAGCGCGCTACAAACACGCCGAAATAACACGCCCCAAAGTCATCAAGAAAGCGAATGAGTTCTCCCCCCGTTTTACAGCGAACCTTTCAAAAGGTCTCGAATGGGAAGTAAAAAAAAATCACTCTTTTAATTTCAGGTCCATCGTTCCTCGAGGATCCGAGCGGGTATCTGGCGCAGCAGACGGCACTGCTGAACAGTACGATTTCACGCCAGACCGGTGTCAACGGTAGCACGTATCTGCCTCAGCCGAAGCCTAGTCCCACGCAGTCGTACAACAACGGCAAGAACAATCCGACCTCGCCGGTCTTCGTGCACAGCTCCATGACGCCGAATTCGGTAGGCAGTATCACCGATTCCGAAGGTGGCAGTCCGATGTCGTGTCAGAGGTGCGTCACCGACACGCCTTCGTTATCTTCCTCCACTCAGGATTCCTTCAAACAACGCAACGAGGTAAGACGACTTTTATTTTAAATGTCGCGTGTTAGTTTTGAAAAAAAGAACTAACAAATAAATTAGCTGATCTCGAGCGGACGTATGAAATGTTACTTTGAGAATTATTTTAATGCACTTTTCGAGATATCAAATTTTATTTAAAATCGCAGAAGTAGAGAATGTGTAGCGCTTTACGAAAGCATTAATGACGTCATGCTCGCTCGAGCGGCTCTCCTTTGATGTTTATGCGTTCCGAAATAAAGTGAAGAAAAAAAAATCTTGAACGAACTGCTGCTGCTGCACGCTGCCTTCTTTTAATAGAACCGGGCTGCAGTCAAGCCTACAGCGTTTTTGGCTTTAAAATCAATTTTTATTCTTTTCTCCAAAAATATGATAAATCTTCACGATCTTGAAATAAGTAAGAAGTTTTATTATCGTGTTATCGATTTTTAATGCAAATTTTGCTTTCTTTGCTCGCAGCTTCACAGGTACGCGTTGGTACCGGATTTAGCTGAGGACCCGGCGATATCGTCGACTTTCGGCGACAAGTGCATGCAGCATCAGCAACAGCAGCAACAACAACAACAGCAATCATCTTGTCAGCAACAATTAGATACACGACCGATTCAAGGTGGTACGGTCAGTACGTCTCACGGTTCGCCGATCGGCACATGCAGCCCGGCCCATTCGGATGCTGCGTCGATCTCGCAACCAGCCACGCCTCAGAGTTTGGTATCCTCGCAGCCCTCGACGCCTCATGCCTATTCGCAACCCGCCACGCCCCACATGGCCGGCCAGCAACAAAATAATGCCGGTTTAGGCGAGCAAAGAGCTGTTACGCCGTCCGTTAACCAAGACACCGCCGCCGAAGTGCAGAAGAAACTCGATGGGTAAGTTTTTCGGATTTTTTGAATACACTGGTAGTATGCTCGAAACCGGCACATTGTGTGCTTCGATTCTATTGAAGGTTAATCTCGATGCAGTTTGTAATTCTTAATTATGTAGGCAGAATTCAAAATAATGTTATTGCTTCTTTTATTCAAGATTCCAAGCGCAGATTTTACGAACGAATTCAAATGGCTCGTTGATAACGACAATGGCGAGCGGTCACACAGTGAGCAGCAATACCATCACTTCTGTATTAGCCGGTCGCGCGAATACCGCGACAGTATCTGTCAATGGAGCAGCAAATGGAAATGGTGCAATTATTATCAAACAAAACCAACAGCAGCAACAACAACTGCAACAACAACAACAACAACAACAACAACAACAACAACAGTCTAATGCTAATATCGTTTCTTCGATGAATGTTCCTGCGTCTTCGGCACAAATATCAATTGTTACCAATAACTCTTTGCAACAACAGCTGAATAATCTTGCTCAGCAACAGCAACAACAGCAGCAACAGCAGCAACAGCAACATCAGCAAAATATGAATGTATCGAAATCACCACTAGAAATGGTGCAAAGTGTTGTGAGTAGTATACAAGTACCACAGCAAGCTAACAATGCTTCCGTAAATCAACAACAACATCAAGCTAATGTTCAGGTTAGTGACTATACAAATTGCCATTCGAATATTAAATGATCACTTGTATTCACTGTAATCTATGAATTTTACAGCAGGTGCACAACATGTTAGCATCAAGTGGTCTGTTGAAGCAAGCAACACAAAATCAAGGTTTGCCTCCCGGTCACATTTTGGTATCGAGTAATGGTCAATTGATAATGGCTAGTACTCAGGGTGTTATGGCACCACCTCCACCAAAAATAAATTCAATGCCACCGCTGTCAGTGTCACCAATGGTCACCAACGTGACTGGTACCGTTAGTCAAGTAATACCAGCCGTTGCCCAGCAAGTCATCGGACAGCCGACCGTTCTTGTGAACACGATTCAAACGCCGGTGATAATTCAACCAAACGGAGTTATGACAGCCGTAGACAATATCGGACAAAATGTGCAAATACCTCACCTGACGGTTGCTGGCAATGTGCTGCAAGCAAATGCCCAGCAAATAATCGATCCGCAACAGGGCAATGTCACCATAACAAATCAAAACCTGGTAAGTTTGCATGTCGTTTGCGCTGTGAGTTTTATGAAGAACCAAAAAGTCAGGTAAAATTAAGCTTGTTTTAAAAAAACTCGTCTTTTCTTTAATCGATTAATCGAGTAGGGAGACTAGATACTCACCTGCTTAAACAATGCGAGTTTAATTTTTAGCCTCGAATGTGCTGTTGCTATTTGATGTTTTTTCAAGTAATAGTTTGTGTGTCTCGCTTCGCTTTTTTATTAGGTTGAATATTATTAGAGCTCTTTTTGCATGGTTTTGTTTTATTATTGATTTCTTTTTTATTGAAAAGAGCTCGTTTAGTGGCTGATAGTTTTAACGTTATTGCATTATGTGTGAACTTTATCTATAATATTTGACATAAACAAAAAAACAAACATGTGAAAGTGAAAATACGTTTGAATAATTGAAAAAAACATGTAAATTACGTCAAGCTTGCTCAGACCGTCGTCGGACGCACAAAAAGGAGACAGTGTATCCGTCTCGGGGCTGTTAAGCTAAGAAGAAGAAGACGGGTTACCGTTAATAACTCGGTAAATAATACGAATAAGAAGGTTTATTTAAGGATTTATTATTTATTATCATACCTGATTCTGTATACATTATATAAATCATAAGTATGACGAAACTTTAATTTGACACTTGTTTGGTGGATGACATTTGCTTTGCGCCATACTTTCAAAAAATCAGTCGTTTTAATTATTTTATTTGCTTTACTTTTTATTTCAGTTCGCATTACATTCTCTTAATCACTTGGGAACCGAACAAGTTCAAAATTGAAGTTTTTTATCAAGTAATTAATATCGTTTAAATAATCAAACTCATAAGGCTGCTCCATAAGCTTACGATTTGATTTTATCGATGCTTAAGCTATACGTTTTTCATTGTACATCGTGGTTTGATGTGTTTTAATTTTATTTCTTTTTAATATCGACAGCAGCGGCGCAGAGTCATGAAAGTTTATAATATTGTTTAAAATTTCATCAACTGCAGCTGATATTTAGCTGAATGTCCAGTAAAGAAAAATCAAACTCATACTCATCTGAATTTATTTTCTTTCAACAGGTAAATCGTCAGCCCACTAGTCTACCCCAAGATGCTACAGTTGCCAAGAAGAAGGTTTACAAAAAACGAAAAGGCAGTACTCAAACGGTCGCTTCTATGCTTCACATTGCTTCGGCTTCCTCACAGCCCAACGGTATGCTGATGCAGTCGCAACAAAACTTTCAACAGAACTTCCAGACACAGAGCATCGGTGGTGCACCGATGCTTCAAGCTTTAACAATTGTTCCTGGCAAAAATGGACAACCTGCTCAGCTGGTTATGAATGGACAGCCACATCAGGCGCATTTTAATCAGCAGCAGATTATTACCAATACACAACCAGCTCAGCAGATTAATCTTTTGCAACCAGTTAATCTGTTAAACGGAACCACTGGTATGGTTCAAAATTTCCCTACTATACAGCAGCTACAACAATTTATTGTCCCTGGTCTTGGAAGTATGGTGATGTCAGCGGATGGTACAGCCACACTCCTTCAAGATACAGGTAAGGGAAAACTTTTGAATCAAGTTATATTATCAAAATTTTAAATTTGACTAAAATTTAATCGATTTTACTCGTCTAGGAAACATGGGCATGCAGTTACAGCTGCAAAATGTCAATGGACAAAATGTTTTGACTCCTGTACAGAATAGCGGAATTTTTGGAACAGGCCAAAGCATTTTAGCTGCTGGTCCAGCAGGGATGGTGATAAGAACACCTCAAGCTACCGGTGGAAAAATAATCCAAGCTCAGCCTGCATCAGGCACACAATTTATATCTCAAACTGGAAACGGTCAATTTCTCGTAAACGGCGCCACATCCTTCGGAAATCAACTGAATCCTATCGTTGCTAATGTTAGTCCGAACCAGCAAGTGACCTTCAATACTACACAGGTAAATTGGTTTAATAATTCCATTAATAAAAGTACAAAGCAAAATTTTTCATCTTATTTTAAACACCTCAGGTACGCCCATCGAATATCCAAGCTCAACAAGAGTTCATCCAGATGAATGGGCAAACCTTAATGGTACCGTGCGGTACGACACAAAATATTGCTGCGGCGACGTCTCAACAAAATCAACAAAATCAGCACACTATCGTTCAGCAGAATACAACGATAGTACAGCAGCAGACGACAATGGTTGCTGGAAATCAACTTCAAGGGCTACAAACTGCACCGGCGTTGGCGCCAGCTGACACGCCAGCTATCGAGCCTCCAACTCTCAATATCGATCAGAATCAATCTTACATATTGAATGCTGGCATGGTGACGGTAAGAAAAGTTAATATTTTCATGCCCTACCGAAATAATGATTACATTTTGATCACACACAACTTTTATTGCACACTTTATCGATTAATATTTCAAGCCCTAGTGGATAGAATAGCTCAATGTATGCTAGTTTTTAATGTATTTTCATGAAATTAACAAACACTAATATTATTTTGTTTGATTACTACCATAGAGGCAGTTGAATAAATTCATAAAATAGATTATTCGTGATGATCTGGTTTGAAAATGAGTAAAACAACAAAATCTATTTGCATTATAGCAAAAGGGTCCAAGCTCGCCTAAGAGCAATTCGCCATCGTCTGAGCAGCTAAATATTGAGCAGCAACAGCAGCAAGTTCATAAAGCTCAGCAACAACTACAACAACAAATTCAGTCGCAGCAGCAGCAGCAACAGCAACAGCAGCAGCAGCAACAGCAACAGCAGCAGCAGCAGCAGCAGCAGCAGCAGCAGCAACAACAACAACAACAGCAACAACAACAGCAACAACAGCAACAGCAAGCCTCTACTCAACAATTTATTTTAGCCAGTGGAGCGACAGCTATCATAGAAAAGACCCACTTGCAAACGCAGCAGTCCGCACAGCAAACGCAGCAGCTGCTACAGCAACAGTCGGCAACTGTGAACTCGCCTGCTCAGCAAACGACTACTCTCATAAGGCAAGGATCTCCACCCGACACTACGACTCATAGTCCTGGCAATAGTCAAAGACCGAGTAGCCCAGCTGTAGATACAACGACACATGGATCGGCTTCGCCTCCACCACCAGCCAATACTAGGCAGCAGTCTTCAACGGTATAATAGCTCTTTAATTTTGAAATCAAAATCATGTCCTGTAAATTTTCAACGCGATCAAATGTCATTTTCAGCCAATGGTACATTGTGTATCGAGCAGTGAACCCGACTCGGAAGCGCCACTGACCTCCGACGAATGGCGGACTAATCAGCAAGCATTATCGGCTAATCAAGTCATCATCAAAGATCAATCGGTGAATCAACTTCTTGGTAGTCCTGCTCCGCAACCGCAGCAGCAGCAACAGCAGCAACAACAGTCAACGACTCCACAAACACAGACACAATTACAACAATCACAACAACAGCAACCGCAGAGTAAAGCGGTCACTTTTGTAGAGACAACCACGACGAATAATATAGCAGCTAGCGGCATCCAGGTTGGTAGCCAGTTAGATCAGGCAGCCGCAACCGAACGACTAACCCTCACAAATGATCGAAATCACTTTGTTCAACACCAACCGTTGGCCGATACCACTATGCATAACAATAATTCCACCGTACCTAACGATTCCTTTTCCGACGCTATACCATCACCAGCATCATCATCATCATCATCATCATCATCAGCACAAGCACTTAAACACAGTGACGCATCGTCGATAGTCCATAACGAAGCTTACGAAGCGTTAGTACAAACGACTCTGGCCGGCGAGTCAACGCCGCTAGACGTAAGCCAAGTTATGCTTGTCGACGATGCGACTAGCTTATCTTTCACTGATAATCCATCACAAACGAATAACACTAGTAATGCGCTAATCACTGCTGGCGTCGACAGTGACGACCAGTCAAAGCTCTTCGGTGTCGGATTACCCACCGGCTTGTATCCACATTTGTATAACTTCGAGGCTAACGAGCCAAACGATGAACAAATCCAAGTCGTGAGTTACCAAACGACGACAACGACTACGGAGAAGATGCAGCAGTTTTTTAGTCCTTACGTGTACGGGAGCGCGGCGGTTAGTTACGCTGAGGCTGTAGCTGCTGCTACCGAGCTCGACGAGGATAGTCCCGAGTCGTCCGAAGACGATGATGAGGATCTCTGAGAGTTAGTTAAATTGATCATCGTCGAGGAAGACGAGATGATGATCGATGTCGATGCAACAAATAGACATTCTAACGATAACGATAACGATAACGATAATGAGCTTTGAATCGATAAATTTTAAAAATAGGAATCTGTAGATTTAGGTAGACGGTATGAGGTTCCAAGTGTTGGTAATTCATTGAATATACTACACGTAAATGCTTTAGATTTTAGTAGAGCTTTGATATAAATTATTATTGTGATATAAACATTTACAATGTAATGTAAATTTGCTTTAATTATTAGTATCGAAATAAATGAATTGACGAATCAATAAATTAAGATTTATTAAATAGAGTAATTTTTTACGATAGTTTTACGGAACTCAGTTAATAATTATCAATTTCCGAGTAGCATAAGATGTGAAGAATACATACATATGGGTCAAAATAATACTTTTTTACAAAACCGTGCGCACGTATGTCACCGATCTTGACGCGCTTTTGGTATGTTATAGTACATGGTAAAAAGGTCCAAAAAAAAAATTTTTAGACCCCCTCCCCCTTCCTACCCCCCACTTCCGGTATAAACGTCCATTTACGATCTATATTTTTTCTGAGGACATGAAGCAAGTAAAAAATCTGAAAAAATTCATAAAAATACTTTTCCACAATCCAAACAACCTCGAATTTTTTCAGATTTTTTGAGTGCTTCAGGCCTTCAGATAAAATCATTGAAAATTTCAAAAATCGAGATACGGCGGTATGAGCCGATGTAGTACTCGGAAATTTTTTAAGTTATTTTTCGCATTAAAAAACATAACCTCAATTTTTTTCAGATTTTTTCAGATTACCTAACGCACCTTTTGAAGCCAAAAACCGATTTTTTTGACAAAAATAATTTTTTTAGGACAGTACGGAGCCTCGAAAAATCTGAAAAAAATTTTTTCTCGTTTTTTTCATCAAAGTACGTAATCTCAAATTTTTTCAGATTTTTTAATTGAAGGCGATAGCTTCTAGGGCCGAAAAATGCTATTTTTAACAAAAAATGGTTCCTAGAACCCGATGGTTCCGGTGAAAAAATTTGAAAATATTTTTTTTGAATTCCTTGTCAAATTTTAATAAATTTTGACCGTTTCAAAAGTTCGATTGAAGCTTCCTAGCTCATTTTAGAGCATCAAACGAGTTTTATCATTCCTTAATGTCTTCAGAAACGTCTTCAGATATTTTGCACTAATCTTTGTCCTGCTCTAAAATGAGCTAGGAAGCTTCAATCGAACTTTTGAAACGGTCAAAATTTATTAAAATTTGACAAGGAATTCAAAAAAAATATTTTCAAATTTTTTCACCGGAACCATCGGGTTCTAGGAACCATTTTTTGTTAAAAATAGCATTTTTCGGCCCTAGAAGCTATCGCCTTCAATTAAAAAATCTGAAAAAATTTGAGATTACGTATTTTGATGAAAAAAACAAGAAAAAATTTTTTTCAGATTTTTCGAGGCTCCGTACTGTCCTAAAAAAATTATTTTCGTCAAAAAAATCGGTTTTTGGCTTCAAAAGGTGCGTTAGGTAATCTGAAAAAATCTGAAAAAAATTGAGGTTATGTTTTTTAATGCGAAAAATAACTGAAAAAATTTCCGAGTACTACATCGGCTCATACCGCCGTATCTCGATTTTTGAAATTTTCAATGATTTTATCTGAAGGCCTGAAGCACTCAAAAAATCTGAAAAAATTCAAGGTTGTTTGGATTGTGGAAAAGTATTTTTATGAATTTTTTCAGATTTTTTACTTGCTTCATGTCCTCAGAAAAAATATAGATCGAAAATGGACGTTTATACCGGAAGTGGGGGGTAGGAGGGGGGAGGGGGTCTAAAAATTTTTTTTTGGGACCTTTTTACCATGTACTATAACATACCAAAAGCGCGTCAAGATCGGTGACATACGTGCGCACGGTTTTGTAAAAAAGTATTATTTTGACCCATATATATAAAAAATATATGTATATGTTATAATCGATAGTATTTGCAAAGTCTCGATAACGCATAGAAATCGTAAATTTGACTGTAAACTGATAGTAAGATATACTTAATGTTCAAATGTCTCTTTGTTGCTATTTAAGATGAATTAAATTGAGCGAAAAATTGTTGAAATCGTGCCATGCTATGAAGATGCAATGAAATCGGTTCCTAAAAACACGTATTCAATCTTGAATCAAAAAATGAATGACGATATACATACGTCAAAAACGTAACAAAAGTGAAAACAAACATTTCCTATAAATGCGTAAAATTAAGAACAGATAGATAGATAAAGCACGTTAAAATTTAATCTATTTCGTCCTAGTAAACCTATCAAACGTACTGGTGTAAATAATGCTAACAAGTTAATTAAAAAATTTGAATCGTTCCGTAATATAATGAAAACTGTCCTACCTCGTTATAACTTGGTGATAAAAGAGACTTCATAGAGTTGATTTGACAAAATTATATTTATTGTAATAAAGTAATTGTAAATTTTAAAATCGTGAATTTTTTACGCTTCTACGTACAAACTATCATATAATCAATTTAATTTAGTTCATTTCAAATTGTACGTTTCTTTGCTGCTAATATTAATTGTTTTATTTGTACAAAATGAAAATAAGTATGTATAGAAAAAGCGGCATTAACTGTGATGCGAAAGTTTAATGAATAGATGATTTTTTAAGATTTATTAATTATTTCGGAACTCATTGAAGTCTCGAATTCAGCAATTTTTACACTGAACTAAGTTTTTGTAATTATCCATCATATTATACACATCACATAATAATCATTTTCCATGACGATTAATAATTGCGATTAGTATTAATCAAATATTGTTCAAAAACCTATAATTATTACAATCTAACGTATTCTTATCATCATTAACCTTTACAATTGGCAATAAAAATGTAACTTTGTAATATGTATAACTGATTTGAAATTCGAAAGCGTGTCTCGAATTCATCAGTTATACGATATATACGATACATGAAGGAATGAAAAAATTGAATAAAATCAATCGATTAGATATTAAAAAAAATCAAAATCTTCATTTTCAAAATTCACTTCAATTATATGTTCTTTTTACTAGCATGCTATCTCTTTTTAAATCTCTATTCTATTGTTTGAATAATTTGAAAATCTAATCTCTTGGTAAAAACAATTGCTATCAACTATTGAGTATTGCATGTGAGCATTTTAGTAGAGGCGTGTTTTCTAAAACAAAAATCCAAGCTTATTTCCCATAATAATTTTGACGGAGCACATTAGAAAAGTTTATTTTGTGCCTTGCAGTGTGAATGCGTGTAAAACAAAAACAAAGAGTGCTTTAAATTAAAAAAACAACTATTATTTGACTCGGAAAAATTGAAAAACAAAATTTGACAGATGGTAGCGAGGCAGGCTGACGGTGCCGTAAATACGGTACGGTGCAGCGGCGAAGACAGGGAAAACAAGCGAAAACTGGGCTCCATCCACGCAATGCATACTACACTGCATGAAGACCAGGATGGTCAGTATTTTCCGTATCATTCCGTAATTTTTAAAGTACATAACAAAACGCCAGGAAAAAGCTAACTATCATCCAGTTCATATAGAGTATTAATTCTCCAAAATCGATCAACTTTTGATTGAAATTAGAATAGATTATTTTCAAACTATTTCTCACTAATTCTTTTCCACTCATTTCTTTATATTTATTCAGTTGAAAATGTAGTGTGTGTTTTTAATTACTGATTACTGATTACTAATTTTTTTGTGTTATTTTCTACATCGATTTTGGAGAAAGTAGTGATATAATTCACTATTTTTGCTAAAGTTATCAAAGTAATCTTCATTGTATCTATCAATTATCAAACTGACCTCATTTATCTTCATTAGTTAATACTACCCACTATCACTTTTCACAAGGCAAAAAAGTAAATTACATGGTTTTGGTATGAATGATAGCAGTGAGTCATGTGCATGCAAATATATTTTCTTTTTTCAACTAACAAACCTGATCAACTAGTATTGGTTTATTTGTGTATAAAGAAATCCTATTCCAATTATGAAGAAAAAGTGCACTGTTGAACTGTGTCGCTGATTTTTTTCTGAAAAATCTTTTATTTCCTGATTACTCTCATAAATATCATGTATCATTCATATTTAACGTGTCGAACTGGAGTTGGACGTTTATTGTGTATATATTGCATAAAAGGTAGGTACATTAGCTTTTGTTCATTATTTTTTCTTGAAAAATTGGTTTCATTTATCACAAATAAAAAAAAACTAATTGGCTGTCAGGTTTGTTAATGGGTTCCCTTTTCACTTTTATGATTTTTTAAATAAAAAATCATTTCAATACAGCACTTCATTTTTAAAACCTAGTTTTTATTTACTGATCTCAAAGAGCTCAACCCTATCATTCATATAATAATTGGCTTGGTTATTTTGGTACTGCACTCATTCGTTCAATCAACTTCATCGAGTGTATGAGCAATGTCATTGCCTTTATAAAATAGTTTTTCCCTGAGCACAAATCATGAAAATCTAACTGAATTAATTGTGTGAAAAGTTCGTTCATTCTGTACATGAGTCATGTGTATATATATCATCAAACTGCCTGGATCATGCAGCATTATCAAAGCATTGCGTGGTTTAATAAGAGCTAAGAAAAATTAATAAATGCGTTTAATCAAATAGTGCATCTAAGCTTGGTACGAGGTTGCTTTGTGCGATATGCATAAATAGATGCGCAAGTTATAAAACGTTGCCGTCATATTAATCAAACATTAAGCTAATTAAAATTATTTATCCAAAATTACAAAAACCGCTAGCATATAATAATAATAAATAACAAGAGCGTAACTATACCGATCGATTCGAGGAATCTCTTATTTGAAACAGTCTGAGGTAATAATAATCGAGTATGCTGTTTTCAATTAAAGATTTCCTCAAAAGCGAACCATAAACAATCATGGAAATCATAAATTCACCAGGGTACATTAATGCATACTAATCAGAGCGCACATTCATTAAAAAAAAACTAAAATTAATCCATTCCTGTCTCAAAAAAAACAAAAAAAGTAAAAAAAAACAAGCGCTGATTTTCGGAACTCTCCTCTCCTTTGCTAATACAGAGCCTAAGAATGATAAGGCCAGCACGCCGCGGACGCGGATGTTCGCGGTGGGCGAGATCGTCTGGGGTACCTACCGAGGCAGCGGCAACGGCCACCACGCAGCAGCAACCTGTTGGCCAGGCAAAATCGAAGCGATCGGCTACAAATCCAACGGCTCTGCCGCTCCAGGGGGAGCAGGAGGAGGAGGAGGAGGTGGAGGATCCGGAGCTGTCGCTGGCGACGGACGAGGATCATCATCTGGAGCAGCAGCAGGTGGATTTGGACAAAACGTCTGGATCCGATGGTATGGCGAGCAGCATCGCGAGGCAGGTCTCAGTCAAGTCTCAGTCAAGAGTCTCAAGTCCTTGTCGGAAGGCCTCGAGACGCACCATCGGGCCCGACAGAAGCTCCGGAAGTGAGTCTCAACTTAACATATACAAAAACAAAAAAATCGACCTGCACAAGTTATCACAATTACTCCCCCCCACCCCCACTTCACTTTACCTGGGATAAGGTTTTAGTTTTCGTTCTCCGACGTTAAAACTCTTCATTCTTTTACGCAATCGAAAAGTTTGATGAAGCATATGCATGAATTGTGTACGTTCAAATGAACGAGCTCGATTACATTATTATTTCACGAAATCTTTGCCCTAGTTATAAGTTATACCCTATTTCATTTAATTTTATCGATAAGGGAATGTTTCGCATGCTGTATATTAATTTTGCAGCGCACGATAAGAGATTTACTTCAATGAAAAAATTGAAAATTAAAATGTAAATAATTATTTTTATTACGACGGTGTACTATGATGAAAAATTGAGTGCAAATCAAAATAAAATTAGCAAACCGACAGCCAACTATAATTGGAGTATAAAATTTAAAACATAAGATTTTACAAAAAAAATCACTTTCTAATATAAAATTTTCAATGCATGAAGTAGTTAGCTAACTAAAAGTATCTTTAATTATTTTGTATATACTTTTAAAACCTTATTATCGTGTGCTAAATAAGTATAGAATAGTTCATGAAGTGAAGAAAGTTGTATTACCTGTTTTTTTTTTAATTTTGTCCACAAATCCGTAAACTATTTTTTCAAATGATGTAAAGATATTTTGATTTTCGATGAAATAATTAATGATGAACATTCATTTCAAATCGAGGATTTCGCAATACTTTTATCCTCATTATTTTGAATATGAACTAATTAACGATACATTCCCTCCTTAGTATTTTGCAATCAATCATCCGATGTAAAGTATCAATGGCTTTAAAGCACGCAGTCCCCTCCTTCCCTTCATCAAAGCACGCCTTATAAATTTAGAATAAAATTTCAAATAAAATTACCGCTAAAAGGTGTTGACAATCCTACACATGATCCGTATTATCCTGTCAATTTTAGAAGTCGTAAACTGAATACCCAATTGGAGAGCGCAATTCAGGAAGCCATGGCCGAGCTGGACGCGAAGCAACGTCAGCGTAAATCACAGATCAAAACCAAAACCTACGTGGTGAGCGCTGCGCATCAACAAAAGCAGCAACAACAGCCACAGCAGCAGGCGCAGGTACCGCAGTTACGACAGCAAAAAGCGAAAAAAACTCCCGGCAGAAAGGTACCGATTGCCGCGACAATTGCCATTGCACCACGACCCAATTGAATGTTTCCAAAGTATATATGATGTTTCATATATAAATGTGTAAATTCAGGAAAGAGAATTGTTTCTTTTTTGCGATATTTCTATACATACTAATGTAGATGAAAATTTGGTGATAATGTTCCTAAGATAAACCATGAATTAAGAGTAATTAAATTTTAGGATGTTCGAAGAACAAAAAACTTTTCACCTTTCCAACCTTTTCATCTATATTTTTTTGTCAGTTATAATGATGATGCCATTCTGGTATCCTTTGGTTATTTAAATAAAGTATCCTGTAAAATACATACTACGAAAATCCAGTGATCACAAGGCACTAGTAACTGTACATATTTTTAGTTGAACTTATAGACATGCTGCGTGCGCGTGTGCTATAGGGATATTTAATTTAAACTTTTAAAAGCAGCACTCTTCTAACAAGAGCTAAACTGAAAATGACCATTAGTACGTAATGGGTGTAAACGGATTTTGCGATATCTGATTTTTTTTCATGAGTGGTTGGCCTATCCAAGACTCTGTGGTTTTAATAAATGTATAAATAAATGGCAAGATATAATGTGTAGGTGTAATTATTGAAAGTCCAAAATGTAGTCATAATTCTGTAAGATAAGATTTAATAAGAATTCATCGATCATGCTGAAACGAAAAATCCTTAAATGATCGTTGTATGTATGATATACCTACTTTTTGCTTTTTTAATTAACAATTGAATAAATTAAAGGGTCAAGTAAGAAAATGATTGTAAAAATATTTCGGAATTTGTGTATTTATATATGATTAAGAAATAAAGTAATGTGATACTTTATCATGGTTGGAATTTTGTTGTTGAATCTTTTGTTACGAATCTAAACCTGTAAAAGCGTAGTCAAATCGTGAATTTGTTCTTGTTGTTAGCTTTATAATGATGTCAGTATCGAAAATTGTAATCAAATCACTCTAACCTGAATCATTGATTAATATCAAAACCAAATTGCATCAAAATTAATTTTAAAGTCAGTTGAAGCTTTTAGCGCAATAAAAAAAGAAGAAATTTTTTGGTGCTCAAAAAGAGTTTCTAAATTAATATTTACCAGTAGAAGTAAGCATGCAGAATTTAAAGAAATTTTATCATACTGGCATGATAATTGAAGTCACAACTACGAAAGAAAAAGAATTTTGTAAAAAGCATTAAAATAAATTGTCTGCATATTAAAAAAAATGTAAAATAAATAAGTAACTAAATAAACAATAAAAATGCTGCACAATGGGCAGAGAACATTACGCTTAATGAAAAATAATGACGACTTACATACCAGTGCTGATATATATATAATCGACCTAACGATTTTTAAATATAAACTATACTGACAGAAAAAACGGAGACCAGTGATATTCCTTTTTTCGCCATTGAGCATTATATATTTTGCGCTTGAAAGTATAAATTTATTCGTCACACTTTGCTTAACATAATCAACGTACAATAGACAATAAAAGAAAATAGATGATATTATTATATATTAAAACGATCATTGATAAGGCTTAGGAAATGGTAATCTAAATTTTGTGTAGTCGAAAAACTTTACATAATACGGTTATGAAAAAAATGAAGTTTTCTCTTCCGAATCTCTGCGGGCTTTGAAAATAAAATCGACTAACTGCTCGGTTGTCGATTCTATACACGTTAAGTTTATTATCATGTAAACGTGTAAGATAAAAAGTATATATAAATATGGGAGAAGCAACAATTTCTCTCTAAAATTACGAAAATATCTTATAGATTTTACAAAAACTATAATAATCTTTGATTTAATTTGATAGGATAAATGTGAATTTTGTGTATAAAACAATTGTAAATAAGTCGTAGATTGTAGTTATTGAACGACGTTACTATATATTAATATGTGTATATATATAAACATATTTATATGTAAGATTTATAATAATATTAGAATATCGTAGAGTATTTATACAACAAAGTGAATCAAAAATATACACAAGCTCAGTAGAGTTATTAATTTTACGTATGGAATATTACTGGAAAAAGTTATATTTTTTCAATTGTTAAATGAAAATATTTTGTTTCATTTTTTTAAATGCTAAGTTTAATAGTTTATTTTGATTAAAATTGTAAAAATCGCCGTGCATAATTTCAATTTTGAATGTATGACTTTGCGCGTATTTAACTTACGCGCGTTCATCATTTGTATTTTATTGAACATGATTTATTATCAGAATTTTATGTGTTTTTATTAATATTTTTCTATTATTTTTTTGAAAGATAATTGTATCAAAACCGCAAGAACCAAAAAACGAATTCCTTTGATGGCGTTAATCATTCACATATCAAAAAAGGTAAATTTTAAGCTGTTGCACGATACAAAATTTAAGAAGAATTTACAAGTAAAATCATCACAATCAATTATTATGTATAATTCAATGATTCGTTTCAACTCCTTTTATACACTGACACTTTTCAAACAATCGTATATGATGACTTGAAATTTTAAATGAATGTACACATTTTTAATACAGAACAAAATCAAATTATACTCGTCTCAGCAACGACCTATTATTGAAATTATTTCAAATAAGTATACCTTTTAAAAATTGTAGCTGAGTCGATTTTAATTTAAACTCTATTTATATAGTATTCATGAGCAGTGAAAATGGGAACACGCTTAAAAAAGTGAGTTTGAACAAAGTAAATATTAAAATATTGCAGAACAAAGACAAAATGAGGGCTTTCATATGGATGCATTTTCGCAGTAATGAAACTTTTGATGGAAATATAATGCAGATTTTTTCACCTTACAAAATAATTAACAAGTGTTTGATATGGCATATTAAATATTTGAATATCACATTATTGAATAATTCAATATTACCTATTGAATTACGTTAAAAAAGCGCGAAAATACGTGTCATCTGAGCTCATCAGTTATGTAGGTGAGAAAAAACCCAAATCTCAAACAGACCCTTTTATCATAATCCATACCACGATCGTTCAATATGATGTTATGTTTACCCTTCTTCAAAGTAACACGCACGATGTAAATAATTGATTCGCGGCGTCTTTATTCCTAACAAACGAATACCATCCATTAATCGTATTGAGTAAAAGGTATAAACTAAGTATCAAAAAGTTTCCATAAAAGTAGTTCAGTGCAAAATTCGAAAGTAAAGTCGAAATATGAAAAGCAGTTTTCGTCTAATATAAATTAATTTCCAAAATTAATATTATAAGGAAAAAAGGCTTTGTCTGTTTCTAACCAGAAATGGTTTTTTCGATCAAACGATCAACATCTTAAAAATTGGGATCAAAATACACAAGAAAATCAAATCAACACGATAACTTGACAAAACAAAAACGAAACATTTTATTCCTATGAGAATCAAACGTCGAAAATATGAAAAGCTTCCTCACGCGCGAATCGATACGTCGGATTATTAAGAAAAGTTATACATTATTGATTAAATAGGACAGAGAGCAAAAGACATCGAAGGAACCATTAAGTATATGTGAATTTTTTAGCAAACGCAAGATTTTTAATATGGTCTTGGTATCTTTGGAAGGTTTTAACAAGGGTACTTTTACAGAAATATTTTATACGTATGGACTTATTTTGCGTAAAAATCGGACGAGTAATTGTTGAGAAACAAAAAAGGGATTTAGATGCAATTTTTCTATCATATGCTTACCCGTGAGGAAGTACTTGAAGATTTCTTGCGCATAAAATATACGTGAATGAGCGAATGATCTTGAATGTAATAAAAAAGAATGCTGATTGTGAACTATTAAAACCTATATTATATATGATACAAGAAAAGAATGCAAAGTAATTGAAACATTAAAATCCCCCGCCTCAGCTAATCCTTGCAAAATAGGTGACAAATTAGAAAATCTATATATATTATACGTTCGTAAAATTTATTACTTGCGTATTATTGGTATATTGAATATGGACAAAATATATATATAACAAATTATACGTGTATGGGTTATATTACAAAAAAAAGAAAAAAAAACACTAAAATACGAAAGAAATTGAGTGATTGAACGTTATATAAGTATGTAGTAAAGGTAAACAAAAAAGTAAATAGCTCAAAGAAAGAGTCTTCGATACAGAGAACGAGGGGGATGAAAACCGATCGTCGCTGTCGTTGTCGGAGACGAGCAGACAAAATGTGTTAAGAAAGCTATGTGATCTATAATGAAGAAAAAAAAAACTAGTAGTTTTTAGCTACTTTATTTTGTAAATTTTGTTTATATACGTAAAATATATTATTCGATTATTCATAACATAACACTGTATGTGAATACATGAGTTAATAAATTATCAACATATGAAGTTATCCGAGAGTAACATTTATTTGTGCAAATAAAAAATACATCCAAAAATATATAATGCATGGACATTTACGTAACGTCATCGGGTCGTTGCGAATGTTATGTTGCTAATTAATCAAAAAACGAAATCGGCCGAAATTTATACAAGTTTTCCATAAATAACATTTAATTGAATGAATCAACTGCGCGCAGCAGCACCTAATAACCATTAAGCGAGAGAGCGAGCGCGTCGCGTGACGTTTCTCTCTCTCTCTCTCTGTGCAGTGGTAGTAGTATTAAAATTGCGAAAAGTAAATAACCTTTCGCAGATCTCGCGGTATAGGTACACTGCTAGTGTAAAGGTTACGTTCGCGGAACTTTATACTTTCCTTCTTGCTGCTGCTGCTCGGCGCACAAAATGTTTAATTCAAGCGCCTTTCTAGCTACTTTTACGTCTTTCACTCGACCGAAGAGACACGGCCGTCTTCCAGTGCGCGAGGTACGGCTGGGGTAGGTGTATATATATGTAAGGTACTGCGCGCTACGCGAAAAGCTTTGAGAGGCGAACAATTAACGAATTTTAAAGAGGCCGTATCTTAAAAGCGTGCACTGCACTCGGAGCGGCAACTTTTTCGAGAGCATCTCACGGAACTTTTCATATTGCCCGAGCTGCGCGTGTGTGTAAGTATGTATGTATTTGTCTACCATAGGACGACTGCTCCTACGTGTGGAACATCGCCGACGAGGAGAGATGCGAGTTCGTGAAGACCATGGACGACTGCGCGGTCGACTCGTTTCTGCCCTATCCCACCTGGCTGTTCTGCTACTTCGGCACCCAGAACATGCTCTGGTTCTATCTCGGCCTCCTGGCTCTGTTCTGCTGGCTGCTCTATCTCTTTCTCATACTCGGGACAACGTCGGATAATTTGTATACGATCGATTCAATATATAGCACCAATTCGTCGATTCACGCGTATCACACGCACGCACACGCAAACAGCTTCTGCCCGTCGTTGTCCGTGATAGCCGCGGTGCTCCGATTGTCCGAGAACATAGCCGGCGTGACGATTCTGGCCTTCGGCAACGGCGCGCCGGACATATTCACGTCGCTGGTGTCGAACGAGGGCGAGCGCCTCATCATGTTCACGGAGCTGATCGGCGCCGGGGTCTTCGTCACGGCCATCATCGCCGGCTCCGTGGCCGTGTTCGCGCCCTTTCGCCTCGTGCCCAAGTACTTTTTGCGCGACGCGCTGTTCTACACGCTCACCGCCGCCTGGATCTGCTACATCATCGCCGATCACTGGATTTATCTGTGGGAGGCCGTCGGTGAGTTGCTTCATATACTCTGCTCTCGAAAAAAGCATCCATCGGAGCCTCGTTTTGTCCTCGTCGCAGGTTGCATTCTCCTCTACGTGCTCTTCATAATCGTGGTGGTGGTGATGCAGAGTCTGGAAAGTAACGAGAGCGACGGTGGCCGTGCGTATTTATAATAATACAAATGATGAACCTCGTTTACATTTTGTCATTGCCCTCGATCGATTTTTCTTCGATCGAACAAAGCAACAAGTTCCATCTACCACCAACACCGCAGCGCGAGGCGCAATTACAAAGTTATCTCGTTATATCAAGCTTGGCCCGCGGACTTGTCCTCCTCTCTCGGTATAAAATTTATCATCTCGCCGTCGTCTCGCGCTACTCTACTGCCGTTGTTGGCCAGAGGCTGATGGATCGATCGACCACGACGACGTCTCCCAGCTTTTCTTCATTAAACTTAAAAAAACAACGCGGCAGCGGTCGTACTTAGAAATAATCCACTCTCCGACATATATTATTGTATAATATATAATACTGCTCGCCTGCTGTTGATTGTATCGCATCGTCGCATCGAAAATCTCGCGCTTGCAAAAGTTCGTATTATTATTATACGTACCATAACCGCCGCGTGTATATACCGGTACGTGTCTGCCAGCCAGCCTGCTTGAACACACACACGCGCGTACTCGTGATATAATAGTGATAAAGTAGTATTAACAAACGTACAAATCACCAACTCAAGTTTCGGTGCGCTAACCCCCTTTAATTACTTCAACTAACTAACCAATACCTGCGTCCACCCACACCCTCGTGCGTTATATACGTGGATTCGTGTGTGTGTGTGTGTGTATATAGCAACAGCAGCAGCAGCATACATGAGGCTACGGTGCGGTGCTCTCTCGCGAAAATCGATCGATCGAACTTTGACCTTTTGCGGCTGGCTGGGCTTTCGCGTCATCGCCACTCTATCGTACTACTCTACTCTACCTCCTCCTGCTTCCTTGTATAATACTGCATAAAAGCCCTCTTGCCCGTGTCTTTACGTGTGTGTGCTATGTACATATATATACTGCGTTACACAGAGCGAATGCCAACTCTGAGGGACGCGGACGTGCTGCTGGCCTTCGTGGAAAATCGCAACGTCGATGTCAACGTACCGCCGCAGTTACCAAAGAGATCCCGAGCTTACGATATTCACGCCAAACTAGGTGAGCTTCTATGTATAGTGACGCTGCTGCTGCTGCCGCGCGTTCATTCAGATGCAATTTCGCATACGTACAGGCGTCACTTTGGCTTATCGAACGCGCAGTAGCAGCGTACGTATAGCTAGCTAGCTACACGTACGTATAAAAAAAAAGGCCAAAAAGCGAAAAAAAAAGAGAGAAAACTGAAATAGCATAGTCCATACCATACGTTATATATATATCTATGACAGACGTCGCAATCAGTCGTGAAATAATCCGTGGACGCACGAAATCTGCTGACGACGGCGCCAACGACGAGGAGGAGGCCCCTGAAAAATCGTCGTCCGCGTCCAGCCGGCCGAGGGGTCTCTTTCGCGAATTTCTCTACGACGTGAATCCAATAAACGCGATCGACTGGAAGGAGTCCGGCTGGCTGGTGAGAATTCTGCTGGTGCTGCGCTCGCCTTTCATGTTTGTCCTTCAGCTGCTCGTGCCGGTCGTCAACGAGACCGCCGAGAAGCGCGGCTGGTCCAAGCTGCTCAACTGCCTCCAGATATCCTTCACGCTCAGCGTCGCCATCGCGCTACTGGGATGTTAGTACATTTATTATTAAGTTACGCGTGTGGAATGAAATGACGCGAGAAAAGCTCGAGAAAGAAAGAAGAGCGACTATATCGTTGAATTCAATGGCTCGGATTCGAGCGTGAAACTCTTACCTATGTATGCGTGTGATATAGACACGAAGACGCGGGTCGGTCCGGTGCCTCTGGTGGCCGTAACCGCTTGCTGCATGCTCGTGCTCGCCGTCACGGTCTTCGTCTTCACCTCGGTCGATCGAGTACCCAAGGGACACAACGTGAGTTATCTCTCAATTATACATTCGCGGCGACCCGATTACGCTCCGATAACTCTGCGAATGTAAACTCTCGGACTTTATACAATGCGAATCTCCTTTGTAACGAGTCGTTCCAATTCGAATGTATACGTCTCTCTACACACCCACTGGACTCTAGTTATTGGCGTTCGCGGGATTCCTGGTGGCGATGCTGGTGGTCTACCTGATGGCCAAAGAGGTGATGTCGGTGCTGCAGTGTATCGGCTTCGCGAGCGGCATCTCCGATGCTATGCTCGGCATCACTCTTCTCGCTTGGGGCAACAGCGTCGGTGGTAAATACTTTTCTTTCGCACCCCTCCTGCAACAGCAGTGTAACACAACGAAGCGGGCGGGTGCGAGGGCGCATATCTCTACGACTCTGTATAGATATAATCCACATACTCTGTGCAGTTCAGCCCTGGCAGCGGCATACCTTCGAGCATTAATTAAGCCCCGGCGCGCGTCTTTTGGACGAGTACAGTAGCGTGTATACACCTACTACCCTCCTCTTCTGTGTACCACTACGGCGACCCTCGAATTGAAATATGCGCCCTCGCGCGTGTTTTGTATTATTATGTAGGTTATCGGGTACATATATACGCGATGTGCCTCTATGTCTACAAAGAAAAATAGAACACAGAGATCGCTCGACTTTGCGAATACAAACACATAGCACGGGGATACTTTGAATTTTACCCGAGCGCGCGTATACATGTATCTATACCTACTATGCAAAATCCCGGGATCGTGTTCGAGCGTAAAAGCTAATCGTTCCAGTCGCCGCATTCACGCCTCGGCGAATAATATTCTCCGCTCGATATATATATGATACGTGCGAGCGATATCCGCGCTTGATTTATCGCTATCTCTCGCGTACGTATAACCCGCTGGTAATTATTCAATGAACACATCGTGGAATTTCCATTTTGCCCACGCCGCAACCCACCACCTGCCTGCCTTGCCGCACCCACGCTCTCCACCCTGCTGCTGCCGCCGCTGCTGCTCTATACTGCTACTATACGCGCGCATCGATCCAGATCTCATATCGAACGTGACGATCGCTCGGCGGGGCTTTCCGCGGATGGGCTTCTCCGCGTGCTTCGGCGGGCCCATGTTCAACACGCTGATGGGCCTTGGACTCACCTACGGACTGGCCGTGGCCAAGGAGCCCGAGCTCAAGATCAAGATACGCACCTCGCACATGGCCATGGGCTGTCTGGCCTTTCTGCTGAGCTCGCTGACGGCGTCGCTGATCTATCTCACGATAACGGGCTTCGCCGCGCGCAGGAGCTACGGATTTCTCCTCTACACCGTCTACGCGGTCTTCATGACCATCAATCTGCTGAGCGAAGGCCACGTCATTCATCCCCTGGGGGTGGATCATCGGCCATAATGATCGTCGTTTTTCTGTGTGTGTAACTCAATGTTTTTATGCATACGTAATGTATGCGCGTATACGGAATTCGAATCTGGTTGAGATTCTTCTTATTCGCGGCGTCGATTGTTCCCACGTACATAATTGAATCGCGCGAAATAATTTCGTCGCAGAAAATATGATGGAAGATTTGACGGATTATAACGTTTAACGAGGAAATATGTCTGATTGATTCGCACGATTTAATTAAAATACACTTTAATTTGCCACTTATGATTATTCGTGTAATCAATATTATATCATTTTATTCGTTATTTACAATGACTTTATGTACAACATTAAGTAGGTTCTTGCAAATACAGAGTGAGTGAAGGTAAAATTACAATTCAATACGTTCTTCCTAGTATACATTTAGAAAGATTACAATTTTTTTTCACAAAGTACATTATAATTTTATATAAGGCATATATAAGAATTAGTCGATTTGAGATGACGGTATGATAATAACTACGATTCAGGCAATGTCCTAAACATAAATATGAGTATCGGATTACAACTCTTCAATGAAAGCTGCTCTATATACGTTAAAGATGTCTTCGCTGTCCAAATATGTGATTATCTCAAGACAACAATCAAAAGGTAGACCAAAGAATTGTACAACAACGTCACAAGTTATGTGTTTAATTAAGTTTCTTATTAAACTTTTAGTAACGCAACCTCTGATAATTGCTCCGATTGTTTTATACTTAAAAATGTGATTGTTTAGTGCCGATAAGTAATCAGAATTCTTTAATAACTTATACGTTTTATCCGGATTAGAAGTGCAAAGGTCCAAAAGTGAAATGTTATTGCCTACATTCCTATTTCTAGCCAGATCAAGCTCTTCTTTGACTCTCCGAACATTTCTAAGGTGTGTAATGGGGCGCGATCTTAATCGTGTTTCGCACTTTTTTTGCAAATAATTGTGTGTTTCAATGTCCATGTACATCATTCCATATTGTACAAACTGCAGATGTTCGATCAGACAATCGTATAATGCTCCAGTTTCATATGCATTTAAAGAGGGCAAACTTTCCACGAGTTTTTTAATTAAACCCCTAGAACCTAGATAAAATTTATTGAAATTTAACGTGTAAGTTAATTGTAATTTTTTAAAACCGATTTTCGAGATTTCTCAGAGGTCACAACACATACGGAACCGTAGTTTTTCCAAAACTTATAGTGTACTTTTTAATTGAGTACTTTCAAGAAATGTATGACTCGTCCATGCGTGCTGTGACCAATGCGAAAAATACCTTTGTTTTCTTACCTAGTTGCAAAATATCCGAATGAAACTCAAACTTAAGAGGCTCATTAGGTACAATTAAAAATTTAAAAATTGAGAAATAATGATCATGGGTCATTTGAAAGTCGTGGTCCTCCAATTCTTCGATAACAGCTTGGACATTCAAAGTCATCCGTAAATTTTGTAAGGGCATTAATTTTTCTCTCAAAAATCCACCTTCGAATGTCACAGTTTGAACGTCGGCCCCGTGACTCAAAAGAAATTCGACTATGTCGTAATTGAAGTGTGACGCGGCTTCGTTGAGCGGGGTACGTCCATTTCTATCTTCAACATTAACATCTAATCCATTTTGTAAAAGTATTTCAATATACGTACGTGTATATTTTAAAATCGCCTTTATGTAATTCTCATCGAGTGTATTCCTGGGTCTGAAAATATGTGAGCTTAATTTTATAATGATTGAGTGCAATATGGTCCCGTCAATACCACCGATGTGAGAAAGGTTGGCCTTATTTTCGATGTTGATTTTCAGAATATTCAAATATCTTTTAAAAATATATTCCGATATGTAACTCACTCCTGTATCAATACTTGCGAAGGTATAATTCAAGGGTATGTTGAGGTGGGCATCGATCATATTTGGATTAGCGCCACATTTGAATAGCGATGCAACGACTTTTACTTGTCCACGACGAACCGCGTTGTGCAATGCAAAAATTCTGTCTTCACCTTCCATTCTTTTTAAAAGAATATCAAACGCTTCTGCGATCCAAGATGTATGTGCATAAAAATCTGCGATCATGTGCATTATCGGTTCGCCAGATGTGTCAACGATTTTATCATCAGCGCCATTTTCCACAAGTAACTTAAAGATTTTAAAGACTATTTTGCAATCCCAATACTGATTTTCACAATATTTGCGATTCTTGAAAAGGTTAAGCAGTGGACTGTGACCACTTGAATCTTTGATATTAACGTCGGCTTCGTATCGGATAAGAAGCTGAATCATTTTTAAGTGGACTTTTCCCAATGTACTTATGTCACAAATGTAGTTTAGCGCTGTCGACTTCCTCAGAGTAACGATATTTGGTCTAGCACCATTTTTCAGAAGCAGTTCCATAACTTTTAGACTATGAGAGTATGCCGCCTTATGAAGTGCAGTTTCACCGCGAAAATTTTGGGCATTTACATCTGCTCCACGCTTTAACAGCAATTCAACTGCTCTTACAATATTTGGAAATTGTTGACCCAGTTCAAGAATTATATGTAATATGGTGTCGCCCAACTTGTTGACTAGCGTAATGTCGGCCCCGTTTTCCAATAGTAATTCAAACAATTTCATGCGCAATTTATAATCTCGCTGGTTGATGAATAAGCTCATTATAGACGTATTACCGTCCATATTTATGTAATTTTGTTCGGCCTTGAACTGGATGAGAGGTTGAATTTTTTCTAGGAACCATTTCAAATCGGCTCTGGTCAACTTGGGTTGATTACAAAGGGAATTCAGTAACAACCAACCGGGAGATCTTGAGAGAGAAGTTGTATATGGAGCAGTGCCATTATTAAAATTTTCTGTTTCAACAGCATTCACCAGTGACTTTGTTCGATCCCATGGATAATGTATAAAATATTTAATCCAATACCAAATTTGCAACATTTTGTAACACTCTAACTTGAAACCTTTCTTGAACTCTTGGCACTGATCAGCTCCCAATATAACGGTAAACTGTGATCCAGTCGCCCTGTCAAATCGATTGCTGATTCTTCTGGAATCCCCTCTACTTTAGACTTTAAGAATCTACTTATTTACATCATCGTTGCTGTTCTAACAGAATAGTTGATGTGTCATTAACTTATTAAAGCAGTATAAAAATATTTTTCGTATACTTTATCACTTTAAGCATGACTCATGAACTCGAAAAAAATAACTTTTTCATCAAATATCAGCAGAGAGAATTATTGGTTTTTCATTATTTTTATAATTTTTTAGGTCATCGTTATTGCTGTTCGGGTATTTAAAGGAAATACACAATTATTGAGTACGTTCCGTGAATTGGTCGCGGAAAGTACGTCGCTACTGGAACAATTCAATCCTTGGTCCCTGATCAAACTGGAGTGACAAAAACATGGCTTACTCGATCGCGACAGCAACAACGTGTGTCCACTTGAGGAAGCTGAATCTTTTACGCTCCGATTTTCAGTTCTCGAAAAGTTTCGTTAACGAGAGATATGCAGTTGTATTACTGTTGAAAATTATCTTCAAATTATCTGTTAAAGCAATATAAAATTAAACGTTTGAACAATTATTTTGTTTAATCTTAAAAAAAGCAACCGACCAATTTGGTTAATGTGTATGACTTGTTGCAGCTACTATATTTCTGATGTTGTACCAAGCCAAATTTTTAAAAGCTAGCGAGCGAAGTTTCATATGTATCGAAGACTACGATTAGACAAACGAAATTAATTATCATAAAATTATTTAAAAATTTAATGTTATTTAATGTAGCTTACATGTGATTTAAAATATAGTAAATACAATTGTCGCTGTAAGCTTTAGCTAAGAAGTAAAAAATATTTTTTTTAAATACATTTAGTTACAGTTGTAATAAAAAAAGTGATCTTCTCAGGGAGTGAAGTTAATATAAGTTAAAAAAGATAGACTTTTCTTCTATACAAAATTAAAAAAAAAAGAAAAAGGCAACAAGAAACATAATATCCGAGCTTTTGACGTTACCGAGGTTAAAAATTAAATCAAATAGATAGAGAGGAGAGCAAAAAAACAAGACGGGAATAATTCAGACGTTGGACTTTGAATTAAATTAAACAGAAGAAAATATATAAGGCTCGCGCAAGGAGACTTGCCGAAAGTGTCCAAGCTGACGCGCGCGAGGAGCGCCATGATATTATATCAGAATCATTTCCAAGTCGAGGCTAAAAGAGTTGGGAAAGATACGGTGCGCGCCACGCCAGCTCTCGACTGCCGCTATCATTTCTTTTTCTCATCTTTTTTTTTGCTCCTGCTTTTCTCCTCTCGTTCCACAAGAAATTTTCCTCCTTTTTTTTTGCCTTTGTCTCGTTACGCTTTTATACGCATTTTTTTATTTTCCTACTACTGTTGCTGCTGCTACTACTACCACTACTACTGCTGGGAGAGAAGGAACTTTTATTGGACTCGAAATAATTGTAAAGATTTTCGGTCGGGTGGAAAAATGAAATGTTTTGTAACGCTCTCGTTTGACAGAGAGATAGAGAGACTCGTTAAATCATGGAAGCAATCGCACGTCACTTATCATTTAATTATTTCATTATTCTTAATCAAAGGCATCTGCATTCAATCTATTTTTAAAATTATATTCAATTTACCTTAATTTCGTGCATGTATACGATAAAAATCGATGACATGTACTCGTCAGCGCGTATACGAGAATATATATCGTTAAATTACCAATTATGCTTGCGAGCTTTAAAAAATTCACGGAAGCTCGTTAAACCCACTGATCCGAGTTTTACTCCCATAAAAGGAAAAAAAAAAGAAGAACGAGAAGAGCACTGGAGCAGTTTCATAGTAGTACGTAGAGACACATTCTCTTTACGACGGGTAAAACTAGTTTTCCACATAATATTTTTCGTCAACACTAACTATTCATAAAGATAACCCTGTTTATTTTACACGCAACTTTTCGTTTTCTTGCTGCACTGCGCGCGCGCATGAGATGTGCTCGCCCGCGTGTGTATATGTGTGTGCGAGCGCGACGAAATCTTCATAAAGCTCGAGAAAAATGTGACGTTTTTTACGTTCTTTCGCGCGCGCGCGAGCGAGTGTAGAGGTATACGCGCGTGTGCACAGCCGGGGTACCTTTTTTCCGAGATGCTGCGCAGATATAAGTTTTCATACGCCGCTGGGCTATATGAACTCTAGTTTCGCGCGCGCGAGCCTGCTTTTCCATACTCTTTTCTTTTCTGCTGCTGTTTTTTTTGTTCACCGAAGAAACTTTTCAATGTACCCATACTAACGAAACTAAAAAGTCTCTCTCTCTCTGCTCCTTTTTTCATGCATGCATGCATGCGAGCAGAGCGGCATGATGTTTTATGTTTCGAAAAGTACACCGCGCACCGACGTATACGAGAATTGAAAAATTCGTTTTTCACGTGAATTCATGAGCGATCCATTATTTAATCCGAATTAAGAATTATATCGATCACAGGTGAACGAGGTAGTGTAAACAACATTTTCCAAAGGCGTCTTTGTATACTTCCAGAGTATTTCTTTGGCCTCGAGGGCGAAGTGTATTTTCCCTGGAATCTTAAACCTCTTAAATTGTTTGTCATTTTTAAAAGAATGCACCAGCTGGGACGACACATACACACCCCTGCGCATGCATGCAAGGAACAAGCCACTCGAGAAAAGTCTCTCTCGCGCGACGCTAGTTTTTTGGCACAAAGCAAATCCGATGGGAAAAGTTGTGTCTGAACAATGCGTGCATGCATGCGAGATGCGATGCTAAAAAAATGTGTGTCTGTGTGTGTCTCTTTCGAGCTCTAGCGTAGACAAGAGAGAGCGTGTAAAAAAGGTTCCGCGTTCGCATTTTTCACTAAGATTTTTCTCCATACTCAGGAATCAGGACAAAAATGCAGCAACCAAAATTTCGAACTGAAATCTTCGTATGCGAAGTATTTAGTGGAATTTTAAAGCTTTCTCGAGTGTGAGTGCGTAAGTCATCGAAGCGTACGCGCGGTCTGCTGATGCAATTTTGAGATTTTCGCTGTTAAATTACACGATTCTCTCTACGCTGGCGCATACAAAAAAAAATAAATAAATGAAAATAAAATTCATAATAATAAATTACATTTTTAAGAGGAGCTTAAAAAAAAATTAATCCACCGCACAGCGCAGCAAGCATTTTTTGCTCGAGCATATATTCCATTTATTTCAATTTTGGGGGTGGTGGTGGTGGTGGACGGAACACACTTAACCGTAATTGACGAACTTCAACGCGCGCGCACGCATACGTGCACACGTTCATTTTTTTCAAGCTCGCAACGTCGCGCGCGCGCGCTTGTTCCGCTTTATTTACCACTGCTGCACAGCAGCAGCAGCAGTCCTTTTTATATACACTCGGCATTTTTTCCCTCGTCCGCACACATTATCCTAGTATGCGGTTTTAGTTTTTTCTCTAAGTCCTAAAATGGGGCATAAATTTACCTCTTTGGTCTCTCGCACGCACGCAGAGTGGAAGAAGCATTTAATGTCACTTATTTTTCGGAAAATTTTTTTATCTCTGCACGATCCTCGTAACTCTGCAACTTTTATTATGATTTGCACTCGTGCGCACCCCTTTTTGGAATGCTCGATTGATTGCCGCGCGCCTATACGTATCCCACGATGTAACTCTTTTTTTTTTATCTCGTCGATACGCGCGAATCCACGCGCGGCGCGAACGCGTATTATCGCGTACGTGTCCGCCCGCTACACACGGTAATCCAATTTCGCGCGTTCGCAAGCCGATAAAATAATGAGCGAGAGGGATAGGAAGAACGAAAGAAAGTTAAAAAAAAAAGGGGGTGAAAAATTTGACGGTCGTTATCGCTCGCGCGTATACGAAAATCAAAATTTATTCCTTGCCGATCGACGCCGTTGCTGCTACCGCTGCTGCTGCTGCTGCGGCGCGTCAAATGATTATTATCACCGGGGCTCGCAGCGCAACGCGCGCCTGGACGACGATATTATTCAACAATTCAAGTACACGCTACGCAGGTTTAACGTCGCTTTCGAGCTGCTACTACGCATTCAGCCAAGCTCTGCTTACACACACACATACACTCGCGCGCATGCGAGTCGGGTTACGTTTAAACGTAAATTGAAATTACGCGATTGCGCATAATGTATGTACGTGGCAATACTCGCGCGTATAGCGCAGAGGCGTTTGCACGTGTGTCTGTGCGTGTGAGTGTGCAACATTAACCAGACGCAAAGGTCTGCCACTGCTGCTGCTGCCGCTGCAACTAGTCGAACAAATCTGACGGCAATTATGTGTGTCATGTGGGTAGCATTCATTAGTACACTCCGATGTAACAGATGTTCGCGAGCAAGGCTTGTATGCGGCACGAGCGAGCGAGAGACAGAGAGAGAGAGAGAGCATAAAATCTCCCTTCGGCTAACCAATGTAATTAAGAGTATAAGGGAGGATGCGCGCGGCATCTATATATGCCGACGAGGCATAGCGTAAGAGAGGTCAATTTTCCCGCTGCTACTGCGGGAAACTAAACGTCGAGACTAACGCCGTCGAGACTCATTTTACGCAAATCTTCGCGCATCAACCCGCAAGTGCGATTGTTCGCAGCTGTTATTGTAAGTACGCACGGAACTGCTGGCCAAAATAAAAAATAAGAAAAAAATATAATAATTAATGGCTTCGAACTTTCTTCGTATTTTAATGACTTTCGTGCATACTTATATATTATTAGACTATGGCGGAATAGATCGGCGAGCATCGTACACGAAATATATTGCAGCAGCAGTTTCTAATTTGAGCACGCTCGCCTACCACTCCGACGCTTTGTATTTATGAGGAAATGTATAATACGTCATGAGCGTAGGATATATATACATGTATATCGGCATTCGAAAGCTCGCGAGAATTTCATTAGTTGACTGACGATAATAGAAGTTTACATTTTAATATACCCGCGAAGAAGGTAGCGCGCGAAATAGGAGATCTCGAATCTGGATTAAAATTGTAGCGCGCTCCCTCGAGAAGGAGGGCTCCGTGATGAGCTCCGTATTTACAGCGAGCGAGATATTGTGCATTGCATTATTCGTGTACGAAGACATTTTTGGAGAATGTAGGGAAGCTGCTGCTTTTCGCGTCGCTTAACGGACAAGCGATCGGCTGCAAATTTTAGATTAAAAATAAATGAAAATTCGTACATTAAACGTTTTCGCGCGCGCGCGCGCAACCATTGTATACCGCTACTTTGCTGAAAAATCGTGTCAATTAGTTACGTTTATTGCTTTTACGTGTCGAGTAGCCATTACATACACACACACACTCTCTCTCGCGGGCATCGAGACACAAAAAAAGTGCGCCATACAAAAAAAAACCGTGTATTTAATTGGCCCGAAATTCGATCGTTCCCAGTCGATTATTATGTATAACGCGTGGAGCACCATCGCGCGCGCCTTTTAATTCGGATGATCGAGTGCCAGAAAAAAGCTACTTTTATTTATCGGGCTTGATATACGTTTATGATTCGACTCGAACGAATTCGGGTTTTTCTTTTTGATTTTTTTTTTCGTTTGCGATAATTGAATTTTCCGCGAAGAAAACTAGTGCGCCGCGCGTTCGTTTGGCCAGGAGAAGAGCCGCTCTCCGTCTATAAAACGATATTTAGCCGTCCGGTGGATTTTGTTTTACTTGTTATTGGGAGTATTTTAGAGTGTGTGTTTGTTTGTTTGTTTCATAAACACGATGAAGCATTTAATCTATTTATCGCTGCTCGTAATTGGCGCCCGTTCGTTTTACATCGGTAAAAAAAGAAATAATCACCTTACACCCAGAGAGGAATGCTCAACATTAGTAATGGGCTAATGACCAAGAGATGACTATTCAAAATGTTTCAATAGACATTATCATTAATTGGTTGGTTTTTGGTGACTTTTCTGTTACAATAATGTTACAATTATTGAACTCAAATCTCAAAAATGATAATTTAACTGTTTCAAAAAATTCAGATAAATTTTAAGCTACTTTATAAGCAATGGTACTATTTTAAGCATTCGCCACTAGATGGCGAGTACCTTTAAATCTGTGGAATCTGCAAGTGGCAAAGTCAAAATAAATGTATAAGTCAAAACACGGTTTCATTACTATTTCAGCACCAATGACATATCTAATGGTCTGTGTCTCTACGGTCAGACTCTATGGCCAAAAAGTATTGTTGGTGCCATTGCGGCTTAGTCACAAAACCTCGAGTCGAGGAATATGTGATTTTTTTTAAAAATTATTGTTCCTCATTGAACATGAATATTTATAATGAAACAAATCGGATTTATAATCTTTTACATAAACATATATTTTTTAATGTTTTTTTTACGATGAAAACATTAAAAAATTTTGAAATTTTTTCTGGGCTTAAGATCGATATGCTCAACTCAAAGTTGAGAGACTGAGCTGCTACTGCGCTACCAATACTTTTTGTCCATAGAGTCTGATCATAGAATCGTGGTCAAAACAACGCTGGTTTAATGTCCCACAGTTCTTCAAGTAACTAGAGAAAAAAAACGAAGAGCATTCAGATGTTGAAAAAAATTTAAGTTTGCTCGAGTCTAGTTATATTGGCTCTTCAAGGTCCAAAAAGACCTTTTAGTCGATCAAAAAACTAGCCACAAAATGTTGAGCATTTCTACTATAGGGATATGGCTACGATATAAATGCACAAAATTATTATCTCGTGTAACGAAAGTGAATTTCTTCCTTCCATTTTCTCTTTTCAAACGACCACATAGACGATGGTCCGATCAACAAGGACAAAATTATCGGTGGGAAAATAGCGGCGATTAAGAAATTTCCCTACCAGGTACGTATCGTACATATAAAACCCGCCCACAATTGCGTCGTAAACAAAATCGTTATTTTCCTCGAGGCATTATGTACTCACACACACGGTCTCCCCGTTAGCCGTGGGTATACTCTGCACTGCGTTGGCCTTTTTAATTAAAAATCATACATTTTCTTCCCTACCGCTCTCGACCTTGTGCGATATAATAACAAAAGGGTCAACTGATCGCGCGGGGGAGGATGAAGTGCGGCGTGAGCATAATATCGGATTATTGGCTGGTCACGGCGGCGCACTGCATCATCGGCACGCAGTTCCTGCTGCCGCGCAAAATCATCACGGGCACGCGCTTCAATCGGCGCGGGGGTACGCTGCACGAGATCGATTACATAGTCGAGCATCCGCGCTACGATTGGAGGATCTACGACAACGATATCGCTCTGATCAAGGTGAAAAAATTATCATTGTATAATCGGAAGGATAAAAATTATTATTTGTATTATTACTATTTTTTTTGGTAGTTGAAAAAACCGATAGTATTCGACGCGACGCAACGGCCCATCCAGCTGACCGATCGACGCGTCAAAGTGGGAGATAAAGTTCTCATCTCGGGCTTTGGACACACGGTGGTAAGTTTTTTATGGCAATCGCACTATCGAACCTGCATAAAATTCCTCGTCCGCGCAGAACAACGGAGGCATCACCTCGCAACAGCTGCTCAAGGCAACGGTCTACGCCAGCGACCACGAGTCCTGCCGCCAGATCTATCTGCAGACCAACGACACCGTCACCGGCAACATGTTCTGCGCCTGGGCCTTGGCCAAGGACGCCTGCCAGGGCGACTCGGGCGGCCCGGCGGTGGTCAACGGCAAGCTGGCCGGCATCGTGTCGTTCGGCGACGACTGCGGCTCGGCCACCTTCCCCGGCGTCTACACCGAGGTGCACAACTATCTGGCCTGGATCGCCCGGGTCACCGGCGAGACGAGGAAGGGCGTAGAGGTGTGGGCGGCAGCGAACGTGGAAAAGGATCCCGTCGTGGTCGAGGAGAAGGTCAGCGCCCAGAAGGTCAGTTTGAGTAGCGTCGAGAAGGAGGAGGAGGAGGACGACGAGGAGACCGACGTCGACGACGAGGTCGAGGATTATTACGACGACTGGCCCAAGTACATGTTTCCGCCGACGAAGAAGGCGATCGTGAAGAAACAGCCATCGTCGTATCTGCACACGGCCGCCGAATACACCAAGTCGACGATCAATGCGATCGCCAACAAGGTCGGATCGATCCTGGGCAATTCGAAATCATGATATATCGGCTTAATAAATATTGTAATTGAATAAATAAACGGAAACGCAGTAGATCATCGAAATTAATTCACCCGTCTCACAGATCGACGCCCAATAATGTGCCGCAATAATGACGCGCTTGCCTGCAGTTACAACAGGCGATAATAATGGCTCATTGAAAGTAGCTATATATCAGTGCAGTGCTCTCTATCGGAAAAGTGTCACATAATCCGAATAGACGTGACCCCTCTCTCTCTCTCTTTCAGTCGACAAAAGCCTCTAAACAGTACACGCAGATTTTCTGACTCCATCTTTCTCTCTCTCGCTATAATTCGCAACGAAGCAGCAACAACGACCTGTCTCGTTTTTCAATTTGACTAACCGTCCGCCGCCGCGACGAGGGTGTCTCTATCGAACCCATCCACGATGAAAATGGCGCGGAATCATCGAGCGCGCCAAAAAAAAAATCAACGCTGTATACATTACACTCCGTTAATCCTGAATATAATACGCGGGTAAACCAAAGGGTGGAAAGATAGCTAGCTGAGAGAGAGAGAGAGGGTGGACACGCGGGTGAGTCGCGCGCGACATCGACCTCCGAGATATACATAGTAATATACGCGCGACGCGCGTAATAATAACACAAAGCCTCGCAAGAGCAGCAGCAGTGGAGGTTGGTTGGGGGGGCTGCGTTGCGGAAAAGGGCTAATAATTAATTAGAGTCGACGAGTGACTTGCAGATATATAGGAACGATACGAATCCTCCCGGACGTTGCTGCTGATGCCGATGCCGAGCAACGACCGACGTATAGACGTCAGAGTGTTTGCTTTGCGCCGCATTTTTTTTTCTCCTTTGTATAATACACTCACCCGTAGCTGGCCGTCGCTGCTACGAACTGAACTGCGCAGGGACTGTGATTGATTACGGTATAATGCGCACCGATGGATGAGAAAACAAGCACAAAAAAATTCGCTAAAGATAAAGCACACTGCACCGTATACACTGCTGATCGCGCGCTAAGCTCTCCGTTTCCGCGCGGGAGAAGAAAAGAGAAATCTTCGTATATCGATATCGAACAGCGCATTCGAAACGAGAAATTCAAACAGCGGCGCATTTAGCGCGTGCGAACGCCAACGCCGCGGCCGCCACCGACCAATCGCGTGCTTTCCCGCGCACACGACACCGGCCTCCGCTAAATCGTGCGTGCGTGTTTACATGTATGCGAACTCCAAATTCTTATATACACAGCACAGCAGTAGTCAAAGAACTGACAATTCGCTCATGTGCTCGCGTGTGCTGTGCGACGTCTGTCGATGTTTTTTGTTTGAGTTTTCATAACGAGTGTGTGTTTATCATCGTGCAGAGTTGAAGTCTACAGAGGAATTCGTGATATTCGGTTGATCTTTTGTGCGAATCGCCGAGGAATCATTGGGATTGTGCACTGCCCGTTGTCAGATAACTGGTAAATAAGATGTGTGTTTTAGAATAATCGAAAATGACACTTGTTGCAACGAGTTCGTGGATTTCTTTGTTATTGTCTGAATTGACATTCCATTAGTTTTTACATTCTACGCTCAACGATTGATTAGCGATTAGTTATAAACTTATCTATCAACAGCAAATAATTTATTTTAATGTAATTTTGCATTTTTGCTCACTGTCATTATTTTATTACACTCATTTATGATATTATGTTGAATAATAATTGATGTCAACGTTGATTAACAATTTTATGTATCAGACATTTTAAAACTTATGAACTAAATTGTTTTTAAGGCACCAGCATTCACAATGCCATCAACAAACAATTCATCCACCAAAATATCTGAAGCAATCTATGCTGAACTAACAGCTACGTGTGATGCTCTTGGATACAATAGTGGGGATAAATTTCTTTTGGATCAACATGCTGTTGGTATGTCATTAAATTATGCAGTCTCATAATTCATGAAATATAATAAGCAAGAAAATAAGCAATATTGACATTTTCAATTTATCATTGCAGAGACCATCAAAGATTTGATTCGCTTCTTAAAAAAAGATGACGATACCCACTCAATTCGTCGTTACCTTGGCCAGTCAAAACTATTGCAGAAAGATTTACTTAAAATATTTGTTGAACATGCTGATAAAGAGGAACTTTGGAATGTTTTGTTGAGGTACGTACCTTTTTTAATTAAGCAGTATTAGAGTTTGAGTCTATAATGAGCATTTGTAAAAAATTTAATTTTTAGATTACTTATCAATTTGACGTCACCAGCTTTACTGCTTTATAATGAAGAACTACCTACTGAAAAAGTCACTAGAAGTTACTACTTACAAATTCTTGGTCATTTACAAGAGTACAAAAGCGCAATGGCTAATGATAAAGTTTGGACTGTGGTCCGTGATAAATTGTCAACTTTATTAGATATTGTAATTATTTTGTTCTATATGAATGCAAATTATTATAAATTATGTGTCATTTATTAATTTTACATTTTTCAAACATAAATTTGATTATTCAGGAAAATTCAGAAAGAAATGAAGACCAGGAAAATTTAATAGAGCGCATACTCATTTTTATTAGGAATGTTTTAAGAGTTCCACCGAGTGACCTAGAAAGAAGAACAGATAATGATACAACAGAACATGATGAAGTAATATTTGCTTTCAACACATCAGGAATCACTGATCTTCTTGTGTATATTGCCAGCAATAAAGCTGAACAAGAATATCATATGCAAATCTTAGAAGTACAACATAAATTAATAATTCATAATTATAATAAAACTGAACCATATGCATATTTAAATTCATTCATTGTTTTACAGATCGTATCATTTATGTTTCGTGGGCAAAATCCATCTAAACTTGCTACAGTACAGGCACAAAAATCTGCCACTGAAAAATTAATAGAAACAAATAAACTTAATGAGATTAGGAAAAAGGAGCAACAAGAAAAAATGGCTAAAATGAAAAAATATGCAGGATCTAGGTAACTTTTTATAAAGAATCATTTTCTTTATCTATTTATCAACTGAAAGGTGTAAATTTCATTACGCATATTATTTCACATCTAAAACAAACAACTTTAAAAAGTTCATGCAAACACTCGTACAAAGAAAAAAATCGCATCACATCAGCTCATTTTAAAAGTTCTTTTTTTCACAAAACGTTCACTGCGCGCTTTCGGAAGAGCAAACGATTTCCATTTCCTATTGTGCATATCATAAACTTGGTACATATTTATCAAGCATATATAATACGCGATGTGCAAAAAAACAGCCCGGGTTTTTCCTAAAATTTTAAATGGCACAACTGTAAGGCTCTGTGCGACCCAGTTTCCCAACTCTCCAGCTCGTTGTATTTTAATGTTAATGGATTTCGTGCAAGTATTTTCTTTTTTCAACCCCCTTTTTGTCTCATTTTGCCCTAGTAACACTTGAGTTTCTTTTTTTTTCTCCTGCTCGCACACACACACACACACAAGAGCTTGAGTGTCAGTGACTTTTCAAGGGCTGCTTTTCTGTGTTTTTTTTTCTTTTCATTTTCAAAGGAAAGTGTTACACAGTTGTGTGAATTGCGACTCTCTCTCTCTCTCTCTCTCTCTCTCTCTCTCTCTCTCTCTCTCTCTCTCTACCGCGGCGCGGTTATTATTATCGTTGCCCGTTATTGTACGTATATGAGCGAGGAAACGTGCCGTTGGGTTTTCTCGCGTGCTGCAGCTCGTTGCGGCGGTTGTGAAATTAAGCTTTTAAAACGTAAATAATTCCAACACATCAACGGCTTAACGCTTCTTTTGTTATCGCGTCGAATGTGCTTGAAAATTAGTTTTGCTGAAAATACGCTCGCGATTATATTGTTTTTCATTTTCATACTCTACTCTGCCCGATATTTTTATTCAAATTTTTATCTGATATTGCATTGTGTAATTCTCTGCAGGCATTCGCGCTTCGGCGGTACTTTTGTGGTGCAGAACATGAAGGCCATCGGGGACAATGAAATGATCTGTCACAAGCCTTATCAGAAAATTGAAGATCTGTGCTTCAGCGTGACTAAAGTGAGTATACAAAATGTGAAAATTACTGTAATTGGATTTTTAACAAAGGTTTAAGATCCCTTGAAAGCCTTGGAGTTTTGAGAAAAATCATCTCTAATTGTTTTGCATAATCGTAGCGAATTAAAATTCTCCACTCGAATCATTCCAATTTCATCCAGTCAATTATTTAATTCACGTTCCAGCCCAAGCTACTCTTCAGCGCAGATAAACATATATACATGCGCGTGCTTATAAATTCTTGTTCGACGGAAGAAAACTATTCAATTACTCGGTGCTTAAGAACTACTTAACTTGCCACTTTGCCAGCCGAATACCCGCTGAGGAGTTGCGATTTTGATATATCATACTTTTCTCTCTCTAATTAGTAAACCGCTATTTTCCCCAGCTATATAAAGCCAAAGTAGGTCAAACATCTTCTTATTTTGTCCTTCCACCCTCGCTCATTCTCTCTCTTCCTCTCTCTCTCTCTCCTTCCATGTATTTTACTTTTTCTCTTTTTCGCTGGGTGAAGTTTCATGGTGCAGCAGCAGCAGCAGCATCAGCTCTCACGCGCACGAGAAATGATATTAACGTTTTGTTCACGCGGCTATGCGCACTGTGCCGAGTACTCACGAACGAGTTCTCATTATAGGCACTCGTAAATTTTCGACTTCTGCAAGAGAGAAAGAGAAAGAGAGAGAGATTGAAATCGAATTGCTATATAGTGAATGGCTTGGGTATCTCGTTCGCCCAAAGTTTTTCGTACTTTTCTTAAGATGACTTTCCTTTTTTTTCTTCTTTTCTTTTTTTTAACTAAAATCTCTATAGGGTTGATGATTTCGTGTCTCCCGCCCGGTGTAAGTAAAAGTTTGCGCATTTCTTTTTATCAAGAGTCGTTCGAGCGCGCGATAACATTCAGTAACTTTGAAAATTACAGATATGAATTATTTTTCGCTACGCTCTTTTAATTACTCGTTATTACTATTTTTTTTTCTTCCGCGACGCAGCAAAAATTCAAGAAACGCAAGAACAAGACGGAACTCATGAGCATGGGCGAGGATCGCGTCTCCGCCCTGAGCGTGCGACTCTTCCTCAAGGAGTTCTGCGTCGAGTTTCTCAACGCGGCTTACAACTCCATTATGCGTCACGCTCGATCCTGCATCAATGCAGCCACCGGTGATCGAGCGGCCAACGAAGCCAGCCACTATCTGTGGGCGCTGAAATTTTTCATGAACTTCAATCGACATTACAAGTTTGAGGTGAAGCTCGTGAGGTAAGCATACGCGATCAACGTGAGCTAATTATATACACTGGATTTAATCTAAACCGTAATTGTATTTTCATTTCAGTGAAACTATATCAACTGAAGTTTTCTACACGGTCCAGAGGCAAATTGAGCATGACTACGAGATGATCAGGACCGACAAGAAAAAAGCCGGATTCTGGTCGACGAGAATGCATTTGGGCTTGAACGCATATCAAGTTCGTATATTTTGTGTACCCGTCCAAAAGAAATAGCTTCTGAATAAAATAATTGACGTAGTGGATATTTAAAGCTCAATTATTATACACAAGTGATCAATATTAATTATTCGAGTTAATTTATCATTTCAGGCAAATACTGGAATTTTCGCTGAAATAATAATTTATAAATATTAGCTCTTAATTAACCATGTTTGTTTCGGAGTTTTTAATGTTGATTATTGAATTTTTTTAGGAATTATTGTTCACGCTCATCCAAATGGACGGAAGTTCCGAGCCCTCGGTTAAAAATTCAAGCCGTGTCATCATGAACAATATTTTTTACGTGCCCGAATATCGTGATACCATGCTCAACCAGTTGCTGAACTACAATGAACAAATCATGTCCAGGTAATGGCAACACGAAAAACTTTGAGAGGCATGTTTAATCAACAGTGAGCTCGTTAAATACAGGCCGCCCCGGCCACTGCTGGGTGTACAGTATACGCAAACGCGCACCGTTGTACCCCCTGAAAAGTTTTATCAGTGGCCGCACAAATCCTATCGTCTCTCCCTCTCTTTTTTTTCTTTCATACGCCTTTTTTTGATCGCCCGATGGAAATAAACAACTGCCGCGTCGTGTTTCCGTCGGTGGAAAACACGTACGTAAGGACGGTGCAGCAAAAGTTTTACCCCAGAACTAGACAGATGGGTAAAAGTATATATAGCTAATAAATAAATAGATTTATCTGGTGACGGATTTGGTCGGACTTTCCGCCTGGTTTATGTTTTATTCCTTAAAGGATGTGGGTAAAAGCGATTTCCTACATGATAAAAGTTTATTACCTTTTTTATTTTTATGTTTTTCAGACAATACTTGGTGGACTTGGTGACAACTGTTCATTTATTTTTAAAGATGTTGAAAAACTATTGCGAAAAAGAGCGGCACGTCGTTGTGGCAAAAGTGAAAAGGAAGAAGGCAAAAAGAAGTAAGTTTGACGGCATTAACTTTTATGTTTCATTCGTTCATAATATGACATTTGAAAAACGTAATTCGCGAATAATGCTTTCAAGTGGTGACAGATGAATTTATTAGTTAAATGTAACTGGTAATAATTCTCGCTCTGCCCTTTTGATCTTAGTTACGTATGCAACGTACGCGCTCGAGGTATTGATCGATCATTCGAGACACTCGGGATAATTAATCGTACGCAAAAAGTAATACATAATTGCGTTACTCGTTTATTGCACGTTATGATTTCATTATTGCAGAGAAGAAGTCAGGTCAAAAGGCAGCAGCAGCGTCAGAAGCCGCTCCTGTGGCAGTAAGATGGGAAGATCAATGGGACGAAGTGGGGCCGGAGCTGTCGGCCGTTATGCGGGAAAACACGATACCGGAAGTCATGCCTTTCGACGCGACGATTGAAACACCCGTCGAAGAGCAAAAGTGAGTTGTTCGCGTACCACCCGCCTTTTTCAATTTCCTGCTCTCTCTCTCGTCGTCGTCTGTGTGTGTGCATTGAACCTACCTTGTATCGTAGTCTAGCGCCATGTACGTATGTATGTGCGTGTATACTACTCGCTGAAACTACAGCGAGCGACAGGGAGCTTTTCTGCGTTTAACGCGTTACTTCAATATGCTTCACTGATATTGTGTGTGCGTGTGCGGGTCTGTACGCGTACGGACTTACTCTTGTTGAGCTCATGTTTTCATGTTTACCAACTCCGCGTAGATTTGCTGGACAGCCACACTCTGGGATATTTTGCCTTTTCGACATCGAAACGAGAAGTTGCATTCAATTCTCGTAAATTACATTCTCAAAATTGTTGTAAATATTATTGAATTGGGAATTTTCTGTTTAAAAAACTTTTTTAATTAAAATTAATACTTCAGAGCTTTCAATGCGTCCTATATATGCAATCCGAAGTCAGTTAGTTTGCTCGTTCCCATAATTATTTAACTCTCGGCCATCGAAAATCCGGCGGGTTTCCTTCGGCCACATACTCGACTGGCCACTACTAGGTGTAACGAGTTTTGGCTGTAAACTGCAAGTCGTGTAATTGCATTAAGCTGCATTATTTGCTCGACTGCATAACTGGAACAACATGAAAAGTCGTCGCAGTTAGTTTAGTTATATAGGGTGAACCAATCTGTGCAGTTTCCTCTAGTTGGTCTTCTTTCAGCAACGCAATCGTGAATTATTAAGATTACTTCAAATAGTTTGAAAACTTCGTAGTTATTTTCATGCTTTAACGTGTGTGTTGTCAGTAACGAAAAAGAAAAACGTTGACATTTACTGAAACTCGAATCATTGCAAAACAAGATTAAATTCGAGCTATTTCAATATCGATCCACGGTCTTAAATTTAATCCTTAATCAGCGAATCGGTCGCCAAATCATCCAAACGAAGATGAGCTAGTAGTAGATCAATTTAAACTGTCGATAACACGCGTCGCGTAATTGCTCCTCTCTTCATTTTTCATTCCATCTTTGCAATGGAAGTTTGATAATCGTATCTTTCAAATTACCTAGATTCAAGAAATCGACTGTTTTTCTTTTTTATGTATTTTCCATTAATTAATTTCGAGTCCGCTCTGTACTTCCTATTTATCGAATTTTTCTCCGATATCGATGTACATAATGCTCGTTCGAGGCCAAGCATCCTTTTTTACCCCCAACGTCCACGCTCATTAATTCCTTAACTTTTAATTAGAACGAATAAAAGAAACGCGTCGAGCATCGTCTTATTAATACCGTATTTTCCATTTTTTTTTTGCTCTCCATCAACTACGTTCTCTACAACGCAGGGGTGATGCAATGAAAAAAATCCAGAAGCTGTTGCGCTGCAGAAACTTCGAGCAAGCCATCGGCCTTCTACGCTCCGCAAGGTGAGTACGAAAAAATATGTTTATTATTTTTTTTCTTCATTTCGAACATGCGGAAAAAAACATAATCATTGAAATTCCGAAGAGAAAAAACGCTTACGCACTGGTGGATAAAAGAATAATGAAAATTTGATCTTTTCACATTAAAATGAAAAATAAAATATAAAAATTAGTTATAATTTGATAAAGTACCATTTCATCCGTAATGAAAAGCTCTTGGCCTCCATAATGATTCTTTTACCCCCGGTAATTTTTATTCGAACATAAAAAATACATAACGAGCACCCTTGACATTTTAACGACATTCAGCTGTGAGTGAAAGGAATGTGAAATAATTTAACGTTTATTTCAATTTTTACAACCGTCATAAATTATTTATGTGTTTTCAAGTTGATTTATTATTGAAAAAAAATGTATCACAGTAGCAGTAGCGAAAAGAGATTTCCTTTCGAGTCCCGGAGAAATTATAAATATTTCTTCAACTCGGCAAAATAATTATCCAACGGTTTAAAGAAAGAAAAACAGGCACAAAGTTCAATAAACAGTAGGTACTACTTGCAAAATTAGTCCGTTTACCCGGGTTTAAGCAATCTTTCTCTCTTTCTTTCTGACTTTCCGAGAGTATTTTCTTCTACAAGAAGTCCGTAGTAGCTTACAGTATAGTAATTAAGCTGCAGTTAGAAATAAACCTTTTGAGATGCGCAATTTCTTTCTACGCCCGCGCGCCGACGCTTAATTACGCGCAATTTACGCTTCAAGCTCTACAACTGCAACTGCTACTGTTGTTGTTGCTGCTGCTGCTGCTGTTGCTACATTTTTGTCAAACTGATTTCTTCGCGTTTTCCCTTCCTCTTTCTCTCCCTCTATACTTTATGTCTTGCTCGCGTAAGAAAAGCTTTAAAAATGTATAGAAAAATACGGCTAATATCCTCTCTGTCGAGTTGCACCCGTCGCCTTAAATGGGGCTTAAATTTCGCTGCGCTAATTAATTCTGTGTTCGTGGTAATTACGGTAAAACGAAGAAAAATCCAATTTTTTTTTCTCTCTCTCCTATACAGATCCTTATAATCCATTCAACGCAATATGACAATTTTCAAACTCCATTTACTCTATCCCTATTCATAGATTAATTACATTCTCTCGTCTCTCTCTCTATCTCTTGACAAAATGTGTTCCTTTGTAAACCCGAAAAAAGAGACAACAAAAAAAAAAGATTATTCAGCCACACACACTGGTAAAACTAACAATTCTTACGGCCGTACATATCCGCGCGCGTAAAACGCATAGAAAACTCTTGCCGCGGCGCACACGCGTTGTACTACTACTCCGCCCCGCACGGAACACAACGAATCGCGCGTATACCGCTCTCGCTTGCTTTAGCATCCCTCTTTCAGCGGAGAGAGAGTCGAGTCGTCGGCTGCGGGAAACGAAACAAAAAAAAAGAGAGAGAGAGAGAGTGGAAAAAAAAGCTCGCCGCCGACGTAGCACTGTGAAACAAGAGTCTAGCGGGTACACGCGCGCGCGAATGGCGCAACAATGCACAACACACACATACGTACGCACATTCCTTCCTTCAGTTTCGAGCACTATATACTTATACACTGTTCGGCTGCGTGTGTATTATATAGTCCTATATATGTAGGAGAAAACAACAAAGCGTGTAATAATAAAAGCTGAGAGGAGGCCGCTGTGGGCGACGAGCGATTTTTCACTCGCGCGCGCGCGCGAGAGGGAATAAGATATAGAGCTCTAGCGATGCTTATAACAATGACCCAAACTTTTCGATCTGTCTATACCTGCGCGTGAGCTTTTTATTCCGCAGCTGGTCCTGCTTCTGCTGTTGATGGCGCTCGGGCTTTGTTGTTTCGCAGCAGCCCAAAAGCTGCGTATAAATAGAGAGCTTGCGTGCGCGCGCGCCTGTGTGTGTGTGTGTACGAGAAGGGCGAAATACTTGAGGGATGGGGATTTGCTCATGATTAAACTTGTATATAAAGGGAGAGATTTGGGGGTCGACGTGTTTATGGCTTTGATTCGGTCTCTCTTTCTCTCTCTCTTTTTGGCAGAGACGCGAGAGAGCGCGAGAGAAACGTGAAATTGGATGCACGCGGGCAATACTTTTGTGGCTGTGGCAGCAGGCGACTATATGGCGCTTGTGGTACTGGTGGAGGCCATTTCGATCGATCCCGACTGATGAGTAAATTTTTTTTTAACGTGTATAAAAAGCCATGTACAGACACACACACGCGCAACAACGCGAGGCTCGTGAGCTCTGTGTTTGTACATCAAGTTTTTTTTGTGTACGCGCGCGGCGCTGTATACGGGTTATTTTTAGCTAGAGCACGAAAAAAAAGAGATTTCATTCCCCGTTTATTCATTTGCACAGGGTTTCGTTTAAAAATTTAGAGAGAGAGAGAGAAAAAAAAGTCAATGATCGTCGGGCGCGCGTCCATCTCCGGCTGTGTATGATCAGCGCATAGTATAGTGTATGCGCGCATGTACGTCTGCTAAACACGTGTGCACGTACAGTCGCTACCTCTTTTTTTCTTCTTTTTTTCGTTCCCCTTTTTTTTTCACTAAAAACTGCGAAACTCGTTAAAAATTCACGCCACAAAAGTTAGTTATGAAAAAAGTTGCATGTATATTATGCGTGAGCGTGTGCTGCTGCTGCATATCTATTGCAGCGAAGCCTTTTTTAAGAGCCTCGTACATGTATATAAGGTGTATGAATTTTGTATACGACCCAGGGTGTACGATACGCGTCGAGACGTGTAACGCGCGGCGCTAGATATACCACGTCGAATTAAAATTATTTAATTCATGAACTTTTTGCCGCAATAATTTTTCTTTTCTTTTTTATTATTGTTCAATTAGACGCGTAAGGCTTGATCTCGCGCGCGCGCGCGCCACTCGAATCAAATTTATCGCTGGAACGATTGCCTTATAATACCGCACGTATGCATTCGAGACCTCGAAGCGCAGCAGCAGCAGCACGCAGAAGTACTAAAACTCGAGTCTCTCTCTCTCTCTCTCTCTCGTTTAACTCTCGCATCGATGCAATAGCTGTGCCCGCGAAACTCGAAGAATTCGCTCATTTCGAGCTATTAAGCTCTGTTGCAGCAGCAGCAGCAGCAACGTGCCGCATATAGTGGCAGTCAGCAGCGCGCCGCAGCATTATAAATGTAATTCTTCGGGGTTTATGAAACGTAAAGTTTTTAATGAAGTTATTCGCGGGGCTTGTTTTAAAACTATAAGCGTGTGCGTCGGGGCAAAATGAGCATATATAGGTAAACGCGCTGTTGCAGTGTGTACGCGCGATAAGGAGGCAGCTTGCGCGAATGCACCCCCGAGGATAGGAGCCGAGCTTTTCTCCATTCACGCTACTTCTTCCGCTTCTTTTTCAGTCTCTCTCTCTCTTTCTTCCCCTGTTCGAGTTAATTTCAATAAAACACATTTAGTATCTCGTAAATACGCTTTGTTTTTGTTTTTGCTTTTCTTTATATACATTTAATTCCAGGCTATGCGTAGCTGATACCGTGGCATATATCTGCGATGCCCGAGTGCAACTTTATTTTACTCCTGCCATGATAAATTAGAAGTGAAATTTATGTAAATATCTGCGCGCCGATGGCAACTTCATTAAAGAAACGTTTCCTTGTAGTCTCGCGGAGCTGCGTATACTCGTTTACTATCTCAATCTCGCGTTTCATTTCTGAAAAACATTTCGTCGAAATTACAACTTCGCGAGTTCAGCGGCAACTGGTCATCCCCAAAGCAAAAAAAAACAAAAAAATATTCTTGTTGTGGAATTTCTCTCGTTCCCTTGGAAACTAGCAGCTCGCCACCGCCACCAAAAAAAAAGCAGCCATGAAACTCGGAAACTCCCTACACGAAATGTCAAAAGAGAGAAGAAAAAAAAGCTCAAGGAAAAATTCGAAAACGCAGCCGGGCGCGTTCGAGTGGTCGTCGTTTCCCAGCTCGAATTTCACAGCTCTCGAAATTAAGAGTCGCGCTGGCCTCGTAATAATGATAATCGGGGTGCGTCTACGGTCCAGAATAAAAAGCTCTGCGCGTGCCACACACCTCCGCGATATCGTGTGTTACGCAGAGAGTCGAGGCGTGGTTTTGTGTGGCACTGGCGGAAATATATTGTATAGACGCACCAACACAAACACATAAGCATACACACACAGAGGCATTGGGGGGGAATCTCGTGTGCTTTACGTAAGCGTTGCGTTGGATTTTAATGAACACCCCATCCCGTTCGCATATCTCTCTCTCTCTCTCTCTCTCTTCCTCCCTTTGCCACCCTGACTTAGTATGATGTTTGCCGTGTGTTGCCTCCATAGCCAATTAGCCAACGGGAAAAGCCTTCCTCTAGCTAGTTCTCTCTCTCTCTCTCTACCTGCACACAGAGCTCGCATATACCCGAAGCGAGGAGCGGCGACGTACTATAATGCCGCTATATATACGACTGATATTGCGCAGGCAGCCGCAGATGTTTACATTACATTAAATCTGAAAAGGCCTTTTGCTATTTAGCCGTAAATATTTTCCCATTGCGGCAGATGAGTAGAAGACGCTAGGTAGGTACACGGCAATATATGTATAATGTCGAGGCTATTAGGCATTGTCCCGATATGAGTAAAACCGCGAGGTGGCGCACTTGTGTTATCCGACTTCATGCGCACGGTACGTTTTTCGCGAAAATATATATAGCGAAAAGAAGTTCGTTGCCTGCTTTACAGACGTTACACTGTATAGTAATAATAATAATAGTAATACGTCGGATAACACAAGTGCGCCACCTCGCGGTCAACTCATATCGGGACAATGCCTAATTCTTTCATCTTTGATATGTTTGCGTTTCACGTTGGCCTCTCGATGATTGAAAATGTGTATATAAATCGCTTCGCTGATTTTCCGTTCATTTCTTTTATCTTGTTTTTTTTAAGTGAAAATTCTTTGGGCGCGCTGTGCGTACGCGTTTATGGGTATTGCACGGT